CACCCTCTGCCTCAGCCCACGCCTCTTACTCCACAGCCTGGGCTCTGCCTTGTCGACGGAGCGGCACGTCTGTCACCTCACCTTTGCACGCCCAGCCGCGAGAACAGCGAGTGCCTGTCTGCATACAGTGCCTGGTCACTACGACAGGGCATGTCCTCACAGATGCGTTGCAGGCAATTTTGTGGTTGTGTGAACATGATGGAGGGCGCTTACACAAACCTAGACGTACAGCCTACTGCACACCCGGGCTGTGTGTACAAATCTTACGGGACCACCCTCGTTACATGTGGCCTGTCGTTGACTGAAACGCTGTTATGTGGCTCATGACTGTATATGTATGAATTAGTTCTTTAAACAACTAATTTTCTTTCTATTTTCTGTCTTCTAGGGGAAGTGTCTGATCCCAACCTATATGACAAGAGAACTACCCTGAAAATTAATTTTTCTAGGAGCACTTGTAATGGAACTAAAATAACGTCCAGAGGACTGGCGCCCTTACAGACGAGCAGCCAAGGACACGTGGCTCAGGCTTCTGCACTAACTAGACTGAGGGCAGACCCACAGCAGAAGGGCCAGCTGCCCCGCAGCGGGCAGCTCCCTCAGTGGAGGGAGGGTTGCTTTGGCAAACAGGACCCCATCCCTGCTCCAGAGCTCTCTCTTTTCACATACAAAGATGCATAGGAAAACTCCAGGAAGCCGGCCAATTCCCCACCCCCAAATTCCTCTGCTCCCTGAGACCCGGACCGGAGCCCTGATGTTCCTCTTGTGACCTGTACAACATCAGCACGGAGGACAGTCTCATTAACATGGAGCTTCAACGCCTCAAACCCACAGGCTTTGCCTCCAACATCCAGTCCTGGTTACAGCAGCTGGGTGGTCAGTGCCGACCCAAGAACATTTGCACGATTTCGCAAAGAAATGGTGATGAGGAGCCCGAGGACACGCACACTCACACACAAGCGCTCACACACACAGCCAGTGCTGCTTTGCCTTCACAGCCCCCGACACGAGCAGAAGAGGTCCTCAGTGCTCTTGAAGCTGGAGCCAGGCCCAGCGACAGGCACAAATTCCTGGCCGAGTTTGTGAGTCCCTGGGGCTTGTTAAACACAGACTCCCAGCTGCACCTCAGGCTACGGAATAGGAACCTCCCTGATGGAGCCGGGACGGGGTATTTCGTCAAGCTCCCAGGGTGATTCCTGTGCACATTAAACTTTGAGAATCACATTAAGGAAGCGTCCCTCGCTGATCCACACATCGGTCCAGGGAGGGTTGTTTGTAAAATGAAAGGCGGGATTTGAAGGCCCTGCGAGGAGAAAAGCAGGGAAGACTGAGGAAAGAAGGAGAAAAGCAGGGAGATGGACGGAAAGGAGGAAGAGGGAGACAGCGGTGGGCAGGACCGGGCGCCAGGCACCGACCCCGACAGCCCCAGAGGCCTTCCTCCCCTCCAAGCCTCTCAGCACGACTGTGCGTCAGGTCAGCAGAGTGAGCCTTTGGCCCATTTCCTTTAAAACACAGCTGCTGGGGGCGGCCTCTGGGGACTGCCCTCGGAGCGCCCGGCTAGTCTGACAAGCTGACCTGCTCCAGCATCTGCACTCAGGCTGAGACCCCAGTGTTAATTCCCAAGTCCCAGATGTCTAGGACTGGGAAGCCAGGACCTGAAGGATCCCGTGGTGAATGAACTTCGCATCCACCCCCAAACCGGCAGGGATGCTGCAGGCGATGGGCGACAGACAGCTAACGCAGAATCTCCATTTTACTGCCATGAAACGCAATTTCCTGTCTCCTTCCCTCCCCGCTCCCCAGCCGTCCCACCATGTGCACAAGCACTGCCTCCCCTCGCACATTTCTATTTGCACGCACGGTACAGGGTGGCAGCCTGTCGATGGGAGTTTCACGACACAGACTCACAGAATCAGACAATCCTCCGACAGGCAGCAGGCCCCACTGAACACCCGCCGCCGCGAGTCGTCCACGTACTCTGGTCAGACTCGCCCGAGTGGTCTCTGTTGATACCGCCGTTGCAGTCGCTTTTGGCCAAGCTGCCCCAAACTACGCCACGTATGCAGAATTCTAGTTCATTATATTGAAAAGGAAACTGCTGCTCCTTCTTTCTGCTCTCCCAGCCTGAGGAAGGGCTGAGATGTGCTCAGAGGCAGGAGGGAGCTGGAGCCGCTGGTTTAAGACAAACAACTGAGGATCACCACTGGGCCCAGCCTCCACTTAACTGAGGACGTTTGTATCTGATTTTGTGATGATCTGGAATAACACAGACCTGTGGGTTTTGATCACTCCCTTCCAAACGATGCTGGAAAAGATTTGCCGCCCTGGTGACTCACAAAACTCAGTGACACTCAGTGCACCTGGGTTGTCGCACAAGTTTCGCTCACAAACGCTGCGGAAGCCACTCGGCACAACTGTCAGTGACACTCCCAAGACAGAGGACAGATTTACCTTTACCACTTTGTTGTCGTTGTTGTTTGTGTGTTGCTTTGTTTTCTTGATCCACAAAAAATATTTATCATGAACAATCAAGAAAAAAATGGAAATTCAGGATTCTCTCTCTACAAAGCTACTTTCACACTTGTGTCCTGTTTTACAAAGCTGGTGTGAGCCCCCAGACTAAATGCTGCTTCTTTACAAATGCTGTCAGTTAGCCTCGACATGCGTGTCAAACCTTCAGGCATATCGATTTTAGTTAGCTTGCTTAGAAACATGCAACTTCACCCCAGCACTTAATCAGGCAACAAAAGCTGGAGGTGGGGCAGAAAAATCCAGAAAATTCGTCCTCCTGAGGACAATCGCAAATGCTAGTGTGCTGTTGACTAACATCTGGATCACCTTAAGGGTGTTTGTGAAGCAGCAGGAAATAAATTTCTGGAGAAAGCGACGGATGTAGGGATGGTTGCTTTAGAATTGAATAATAAATGGTTTCTAGTAGAAAAATGTTGAAATGTGACTTATATAGATGAGGCTGACTCACGTTTGATAAACATGTTCCCAAAGGAAATTACAGGGTTTATTAAAACCCTAGGAGGGCTGAACAGAATTACAGAGGTCTTATTCTATAGTCCTTGCTGAAGGTGGGTAAGTGCACCCCCGTCCACCTCCTGGCCAGCCAAAGAGGAAGGTCAGTGACAAGGAGAGAGCAGGGCTGCTCTTGGTCTAAGGTAAAATGGTCATGAACTGCCGAGACGCCCGGGCATGCCGTCGTCAACAAAGTAAGTATCACTGCCTTGCTGGTAAAACGTGATGTGTTGATGACTGTTACATTACATCTAAAATCCCATTTACTAGTAATGGAGAAGTTCACTTAGGCGTTTGCCTGTGTCTCCTGGTGCCGGAGACAGCCTTGTGTGATATTACCAATTTTCGCTTCAGGCGTGTTCACATGCAACCGTGAAGACTTCATGAGAATTTGCACGTTTGATCTAGGGTGAAATTATGCCATTTTCATAGCAAATCAACTTTTCCTTGGCAGCAAAATGATAGGTGCTTTTGCACCCAGAGAAATGCCTTTGTTTTCAAGGAATTTTGAAAAAAAATAAGTTCTGTGTCTACGGCACTTGTGATCCAGCCGTTCTAAGGAGAGGCCCAGCAGGCAAGGCTCCCCTTGGCCCTCTTTCTGACCCGAACACATCCCTTAACCCCTCTTGCATCGATGTTCTTGTTAAAAAAGGAAAAGCAAAATGGGTGTCACATGCAGCTTTTTTCTCCTTCTATCACAGAGCTGTCCTGGAATGCCTTCCCATCTAACATCTCACAGGACGCAATCTGCAAAAGGGCAGCCTGCGTGACGGACCACGTGCGCTGCTTGTGGTGGTGTCCAGGCAGCCCCACTGACTGCAGACTGGGAGTAAACACGAGGCTTTTTGCCGCAATTACCAAGAGCCTCCTTCAGTAACTGGGTTTGACTGCCTCCCCGCGTCACGTTAGAGCGGGGGATGCAGGAGGGAGCGGCTGAGCCATTCTTACTCACCTAGCCAGGCTGCAACTGGTATTCAGGCAGAGCTGTGAGTGGCTTTCAGAGGAACAGAGAGAAGAAGAGTATTTCTCTGGAAATTTTCCACCACGACCAGAAACCAAACTCTGGTTTATCACTGCTATTTTTAATAAAAACAAGATTCTTTCTTCATTGCAAGAAGAAATTAACAGGTAAGTTCTTCTCTTCCTGTAGGATTGATACCTAAGATTGCTAAGGATCTCCCTTGTTCCCTTAAAAGAAACAAAAAACCCTACCTGACTTTTCTTTTAAAGAGCGCCTACATCCTTTCCCCAAGCGTCTGTCTTGAGGACACAGTCTGTTACTTTTGATGGCTGAGTTTACGTCAGGAAGTATCCAGCTTCACTCTGTGAACAACATCTAGTCAGCCCCATAAACGTCCTGGACTGTCGCCACAGGGCAGACTGAAGGGAAGCTGCAGAAGGAAAGGCCCACTCATGTGGCCATCAGCCATTTCATCTCCATCCAGTAAATGTAGGATTTTAACACAGAGGTTTGGAAAATATGGTGGCTGAGCCAGAAAAACATCACTTTGGGTCAAATTTAGTGTTATGTGGTCAGAGTCTATTTTATTATCAAATTATATATACATATATATTATATATATTATATATATTATAATATATACTACTTGATGCCACTAAATTTTATATATATATATATATATATATATATATATATTATTTGACCCCACTAAATTATTTTTCAATAATAGCTAGTAATTTTCTTTTTTTTCCCCTGGAAGAAAATACACCTAAGATAGTTATTTTACTGGCATTGCTTTGTCTGGTTTTGTTGCCTTTCCAAGAACAGATTTGAGGCATCAAATGCCACTCTGTAAAATGTGGTGGTAAAAACTTTTGGAAGAGACTGGGTAAAATTAAAAAGGATGCTTGGTCATCATATCACAGCAAGCACATGAGCGTGGACACCCAGACTACCCCCGTGAGACATGGCACCCAGGAGGACAGGTCAACGGGAATTCACCACATACACTCACCAGAGACCGCAGCTTTGAGGATGGCAACACCACGATGTCTGTGGCTTGAGGGCCCTGCTGCCGTCGGATCCTGGCGTAATTTGCTCTGACCTCCATCAGTTGCTTTAGCTCTGTTAAAAAAATTATTTTGAGAGACAAGTCAATGTAGAGGTCCTCGGCTCTCGCGCTGGACTCTCTCGTTACACACTTGACTTGGTTATCACATCAGATATGTGTTGACATTCTTTGGATTTCTACTGAAGGGCAGTCGCTAGAAAGGGCTTCCTTCCAGGCTTTAATAAAGCTTGAATTGGAAGCTAACCTAGGATCGGTCTGAAAATTGAACCCACTGAAAAGATGGTAAACACAACAGTGAGAACAGTGTTCAGATTGAACGACAAACGGCATAAAGCACTCTTTTAGTTCTGTCGGGAGTTCGTGTGAAAGAAACCATTCTAACAGAGCCTGATTTGTTTTGCCAAAACAAATCCATTTTTCAAAAGCCTAGTGTGATTCTTTGACGACTAACTTTCACATGCTAAATGTTTTTACATTATAGTACATAAAATGTTATTGTAGAGTGTTTAGGTTTGAAATTCCCTGGCTGCCTTATTTTCTACTACATAGTTAAGCCAGTAGGTCACAGAAAAACTATGAGTAGAATGATTAACTGAATGTCCCTTCATATGGATGCCTATGCTGGCGGCATTTCTCTCTTTTCTTTTTTAAAGCATTCAGAATATTTAGATTTCTACTAAATGATTATTCCTAACTTAATCATATCAAGAAAAACAAGAAAACGGCAACTCAACAGTAAAACAAGTTTCTAAAGAACAACTAAATTAGACTCTTTGCTATCAGTCAGGTTTCCTAGAACATACATCACCCACTGGAAAAACCTTAGATAATTAGAGAAAACCACTAACCCTTTCACCGTCAATATAAAATGTAATATGGGGACCTACTTTCAAAGGAAGAGAATCAACTTTCACATCACAGTGATCCATGTGGTTACAAAACTGAAGACCTGGAAACGCATGTTTGTCTCCACAGCCTTGTGGAAGGCCCGCGGAGCTGGCACGGGGGGATGGCAGCGAGAGCCCCATTAGCTCGTAATTACAGTTCCCCCTCTTCGCTCCACAGTCCTTATTGGTAACAAGCTTGCTCTGGGAAGACAGCCTACATTTCTCTGTGTGTTTTGGATCCCCTTTTGGCTGGGTTGCCTGCAGCCTACTTAGCTTTATTTATCAGAAAGCCCCAGTGAACACCGGGAGGCCAGGCGGTGGGATCTGAGCACCAGAAGGCCATCCCAAGAGTGGGGAAGATTAAGGATAAAGAATGAAGGGGACTGGGGCAGTACCTCCCACTGCACTACTTGTTTGCTTACTGTTCGATTGTGCTGTAATATTTCAAGTGTGTTCTTGTACATAATTAGATTGAAAACTCTTTCAAGGAGGGAACCTGGCTTGTATTTCTTTTACAGTCTATGCACTCTTCAGAATTCAGAAAGCTGTCAACTAACACTGAAGAACAGAACCCCACTGTTGATGTGTTCTTCTAAGTCACCACATAGTGAGGGTCACCAGGAGCTGGGGGAGGGGTAATGGTGAGCGGTGGGGATAACAGAATACAAAGATTCCAGAGATCAGAGCCTCCTCCTTGATGGAGGACGGTGCTGGAGGCAGGTCTGTGGCCTCCCGCAGAACAGTGCCAGGCGTCCCAGTAAATCCTGGTCTTCCTACTTTGTAGTCTGCACGCCTATACTTTTGTCCCTTCTGGGCTAAATGTAGAGATATGACTGCCACTGTTTGAAAAGTTTTGGTTTATGTACCTTACACATAACACAGTAATAATAATTCTACAGCGACTTTTAAAAGAAATAATCTAGCAAGAGCTATTTCAGGGATCCCAGGTAATTCACTTCTCATCTTTTAATTTCCTTTGAAGTGTTGTGTTCTTCAGAATTTCCTGACAATTATGTCTTTTCTAACATATGCCTACCCTCTGAAAGTGGCTTTAAATTTCTCAGGATAAATAGAATAAAGTGCAAATGTTGGTTTAATAACAAATATATGTTCCTTTCCATTTCTATCACTTATCAAAGAAAATTATCAAGGAATAGACAAGCTAATAAAATGAGCATATATTTACTTATTACTAAAAAAAAGAAATCTGCAACCTGTATCGTTAAGATTAATAAACATTAAGTTTTAAATAACGTGAAAAGGAGGAAGTCAATGAGCCCCGTCTCCTTGGCGTGTGTGCTAAGGCCACACAGGCACGGTTCATTTTACTGAGTTTCACTTTATTATGCTTCCTGGATACTGCATTTTTTACAAATTGAAGGTTTGAGGCAACCCTATGTCAAGCAAGTCTATGGGTGCCATTTTTCCAACAGCATTTGCTCACTTTGTGTCTCTGTGTCACATTTTGGTAATTCTCATAATATTTCAAACTTTTTCATTATTATTGTATTTTTTTATGGTGACCTGTGATCAGTGATCTTTGATGTTACTATTGTAATTGTTTTGGGGTGCTATGAACAGTGCCCATTTTAGACGGTGAACTTAATTGTTGTGTGTGCTCTGACTGCTTCAGCCACCGGCTGTTCCTCCATCTCTCTCCCTCTCCTTGGGCCTCCCTATTCCCTGAAACACAATATTGAAATTAGGACAATTAATAACCTTACAATGGCCTCTAAGTGTTCAAGTGAAAGCAAGAGTCACAGATCTCTCACTTTAAATGAAAAGCTAGAAATGATTAAGCTTAGTGAGGAAGGCATGTCAAAAGCCAAGACAAGCCAAAAGCTATGCCTCTTGACCAAACAGTTAGCCAGGTCATGAATGCAAAGGAACAGTTCTTGAAGGAAATTAAAAGAGCTACTCCAGTGAACACATGAATGAAAAGAAAGCAAAACAGCCCTATTACTGATACAGAGAAAGTTTCAGTGGTCTGGATAGAAGATCAAATCAGCCACATTTCCTTAAGTCAAAGCCTGATCCAGAGCAAAGCCCTAAGTGTCTTCAATTCTATGAAGGCTGAGAGAGGTGAGGAAGCTGCAGAAGAAAAGTTTGAAGCCAGCAGACATTGGTTCATGAAGTTTAAGGAAAGCCGCTGTCTCCATAACATGAAAGTGCAGGGGGAAGCAGCAAGTGCGGGTATAGAAGATGCAGCAAGTTACCTAGAGATTCAGTTAAGATAATTAATGGGGGTGGCTACTCTAAACAACTGATTTTCAATGTAGACAAAACAGCCTTATATTGGAAGAAGACGCCATCTAGGACTTTCATACCTAGAGAGAAATCAGTGCCTGGCTTCAAAGGACAGGCTGACTCTCTTGTTAGGAGCTAACAATGCAGCTGGTGACTTTAAGTTGAAGTCAATGCTCATTTACCCTTCTGAAAATCCTAGGGCACTTAATAAGAATTATGCTGAATCTACTCTGCCTGTGCTCTATAAATGGAACAACAAAGCCTGGATGACAGGACATCTGCTTACAACATGGTTTACTGAATATTTCAAGCACACTGTTGAAACCTACTGCTCAGAAAAAAAGATTCCTTTCAAAATATTACTACTCATTGACAATGAACCTGATCACCCAAGAGCTCTAATGGAGATGTACAATTAAGTTAATGTTGTTTTCATGCCTGCTAACACAGCATCCATTCTGCAGCCCACAGATCAAGGAGTAATTTTGACTTTCAAGTCTTATTACTTAAGAAATACATTTCATGAGGTCACAGTGGCCATAGATAGTGATTCTTCTGATGGATCTGGGCAAAGTAAATTGAAAACCTTCTGGAAAGGATTCACCCTTCTAGATGCCACTAAGAACATTCGTGATTCACTGGAAGAAATCAAAATGTCAACATTAACAGGAGTTTGGAAGAAGAAGATTCCAACCCTAATGAGGAGTTCAAGACCTCAGTGGAGGAAGTAACTGCAGATGTGGTGGAAACAGCAAGAGAACTAGAATTAGAAGTGAAGCCTGAAGATGTAACTGAATTTCTGCAATTTCATGATAAAGATTTAATGGCTGAGGAGTTGCTTCTTATAGAGAGCAAAGAAGTGGTTTCCTGAGATGGAATCTACTGCTGGTGAAGATTGTTGAAATTACAACAAAGGATTTAGAATATTATATAAACTTAGCTGATAAAGCAGAGGTAGGGTTTGAGAGGACTGACTCCAATTTTGAAAGCAGCTCTACTGTGGGTAGAACGCTATCAAACAGCCCTGCATGCTACAGAGAAATCGTTCATGGAAGGAAGCGTCGATCAATGCAGCAAACTTCATTGTTGTCTTATTTTAAGAAATTGCCATAGCCACTACTGCCTTCAGCAACCACCACCCTGATCAGTCAGCAGCCATCAACAGTGAGGCAACAGCCTCTGCCAGCAGAAAGACTACAACTCGCTGAAGGCTCAGACGCTGGTTAGCATTTTTTAGCAATGAAGTGTTCCTTAATTAAGGTGTGTACATTGGTTTTCTAGACATAATGCTATTGCACACTTCATAGACTGCAGCATAGTGTAAACATAGTGTAAAATGCATTGGGAAGCCAAAAAATTCATGTGACTCGCTTTATTTGCTTTATTGCAGTGGTCTGGAGCTGAACCCACAATATCTCCGAGCTGTGCCTGCATCTTCCAAGACGCCTTTTAAAGTGTCTTCAAATCAGCTCCTTGGATAAGGCTTCAAGACTAAATATAATTTAATGCACTAAATTAATATACAAACTTGACTTAAGTAACATGGAGTAGAAAAATGTGGAGGAGGACAATTACTAAAAATCATCCAGATGGGATATAAAATTCAGCCAGTAAGCTCTCTGAAGAAAAGACTGAATGCTTTAATTCTTCAAAACCTTGATGGAAAAGCACTGTCACCCATACCTTCTTGGGTTGTAAAGCTGTGTCCTGTGGACACACAGACGACCATATCTCGCTCTATGTCGTCCCACGAGTGAAGGGGCTTTCCGCCTGGGGTGTACAGTGCTCTGGTTGGCTGGGCCATTCCGAGGCGAGAGGAGCAGTCATCCAGCAGCTGCAACACAGAGGGACAGACATACTGGAATGTGGAATGTCACAACGCAATTAAGAGTTAAAGAATCAACTCCTCCGAGAGAACTATCACCCGACTTGAATATCCGTTAAACTTATACTTGTCAGAAGGCGGTGAGAGGAAGGGCCTGACCGATGGGGAGCCTCAGCCCTCTGCAGTGGCTTTTTCTTTAGTCCTCTATTTTCCATGTGGAAAAAGGCCTCTTGCTGTGCAAGAAAGGCCTAAATATGAAAAACTCTGGTTTGAGAATCTACACTTGTCAGAATAGCTTAAGTTATTATTTTGGCAATGAGCAAGGAGCTAGAAGGACAGAAGCATCGACCTGGAGCTGAGAAGCCCAGGGGCGCTGGCCTGTCTCATCGCGACAGGTCAGGCAACACCCCACCAAGGAGTCTTTTCAACTATAAAATCAAAGTTTTGGTCTAAGATCTCTCCGACTCTACGACTCTATGATTAGAAAGTCTTTTTTGATGATTTTACTCGGTAAATTTTAAAACTATCTTGAGGGGCCTTATTTCATTTCTCTCAATTTTCCCTGAAATGTTCATAAAAACACATGTACAGATGCAAAGTGTCAACAGTACTAGAAAGATTAGCCAGCACGTGCCAGACCCCTGAGGGCAGGTCCGGGAAAGTGAGGAGAGGGCTTTGAGAGGAGGCAGCGGAGACAAGCGAGAAGCCGCACGCATGCCCGCATCACTCTCGCCTGCCGTGCAGGGCAAGCAACTGTCCCCAAAGACGCAGGAGCCAGGTCCACCCGGGCCCCCATCACCATCAGCTCTTCTTTCTCAGCTGTGTTTAGGGGCCACAGCTCACAGCAACGCAGCCTGGCCTGGGGCAGAACTGGGCACACAATGACACCTCGCATCTGGAAAATGAATCAGTAACACGGAGCAAGACAAGAGAGTGACAAGACAATGCGGTCCAGAGATTGCAGGGTTCACCCCCTATTCTGAGCAAGGGAGAAATGAACTGAACTGAATAACAGCTGAAATTATCCAGGAATACACTCCCCTCTGTAGAGTGGATGGTCAGAGAAGAGCAGAGGGAGAGTGCTCTTAAAGGCAGCTCTACCCCTGCCGCTAACTAACAGCTAGTCGGCAGCAATTTGGCTAAATCCTGTGCGTGTGGACCAGCTCTCTGACTGAAACTGAGGGCAGGATCTGACAGCGCCCAAGTCAAAGTTTAGGGGAGCCAAAGAGAACTAATCTATCCTATCTACTGTGAAGAGACCTTACCTTGTACAAAGAGGTCTAAATAAAAACATGAACAATAGCAATAATATTAGGCTTATGAAAATATTCTACAACACAAAAATGGGTACAACTATACTCAAAGTGAAGACTCAGAAGAAGATTTACAGCAGTAGTACATTTTAGAGAGTATCTGTATTGGGATCCCAAAATTCAATAAAACATGACTTCCATAAACACACACACAGAATTGAGATAACAGCTTAAAGAAAAGGAACATTGCTGAGATGCAGGCAGAGATGATAATGATGATGATGATGACGACAATGATGAGTATGATGACGATGGCAACAACAGGAGTTAAAATTTATTAGCACATTTCTACGAGCTAAAAAATTTTCTCAAAGTTTCCAGGGAACACTTAATTTCACCCTAGGGAAATAATTATTACCCTCCTTTTATTGATGAGAAAAGTGGAGAACAGAGAGGTTAAATATCATGACCAAGGTCATACAGCTAGTAAGAAAAGGAGTAGGGTTTCAAAGTGGGATGAATAGAGAGCTGACGGAGAAGAGGAGAGAAGGTAAGGAAATAAAAGACTCAACAGCAGAATTAAAATCCGTCTTAGAAGCAGAAAAAAGCAGAGTCAATACTGGAGAAAATCAAACCAGTATTAGGGAGGACTAAGTTGAGAAAATCTCACAGGATACAGAGAAAGGATAAGACATAAAATTTATGAGAGAAAAGTCAAACATCTGGAATGTCAGGACATCAGGTATTAAACCTACACATTATTGGTGTTACTGGAGAAGAATCCAGAATAAATTAAACTCAAGCAATTATCAAAAAAATAGAAGAAAACTTTCCTGTCCCAAAGAAAGATCCATGTCTTCAGATCAAAAAGGCTAACCCAGGGTAAGGCAAATTTAATGAAAAAAATGACTAACATTTAAATATAACTGAATGAAAAGTATGAATTTCAGACATGGGGGAAAAATTCAGTTATGTCTGGACCTGTTTTCTGAAACAATCAATACCAAAGAAAATGGAGCAAAATCTATGAAGTTTTTAGGGGAAAAGGTTTTAACATAAGAATTCAGTATCCAACTAAATTATTACTTTTGGCTACAGGAAATTAAAGATGTGTACAAAAACTCAGAAAACCTATCACCCACATACATTTCAGATTATTATGAAATGAATGAAAGTCCTTCACTGTGGGAAGGTCATAAGATAAACTGACTAATGTTGAGCAGTAAGACCAGTAGAACAGATACAGCTGCAACAAAAGTTGTCAGGAACACAGGCACCAAAAAGTGACATGGGCAAGGAAAAGAAAAACCACAGCATTCTAACTTTCAAGTTATTCATGGGGCAAAAAATGCTGTTTCTTCTATTTCCTTCATTAAGAATCTTTATTTTTATGATTATAACCAATGCAATAAAGCATAAAATCAGAATAAGAGAAATAGTTCTGCTAAAGGAATAGGTAAGATCATCAACATGTGAAATTAACACGAGTTCATTCTTAGAAAATTTATGTGAACTAAATGAGAAATTCATAACAAAAAGAAGAATGTTTGGGGACAGCCCAATGGCATAGTGGTTAAGTTTGCATGCCCTGCTTTGGTGGCCCAGGGTTCACAAGTTCAGGTCCCAGGCGTAGACCTACATACTGCTCATCAAGCCATGCTGTGGAGGCATCCCACATATGAAATAGAGGAAGATTGGCACAGATGTTAGCTCAGGGCCAGTTCTTCCTCACCAAAAACAAAAAACAAAAAAAGAAGAATGCTTAGTAAAGAAGGACAGGAAAAGAGACACATGTGTATAACAGAGTGCCACAGACTTCACCTTGGCAGCAGAGACGGAACTTTGTAAAATGTTCAGTTCCTATGAATTTAATGAATAGCCTCAGACAGCTACAGTCGAAACCCTGCAGGATGATTTCAGGGTGCTGAAATGTGACTCCAAAATTCATCTATAAGAATCAACAGGCAAGAGTATTCAAGCAAAATCCAAAAGCAAAGTGTAACAATAGGCAACTCCTATTGTATTAAAATAGATTGTAAAGCTATACTAATTCTCCAAGTGTCAGATGCATTAGATAGCCTAACAACAGAAGCCAGTATATATCAGAGTTTAGTGTGTTATAAAGTTGGCATTCCAACTCAGTGGGGAGAACAAAAATGATTAGTCAGCAAGTAGGGCTGAGATAATTTAAGCCAACAAACAAAGCAGAGAAAATAGCTTCACTCAAATTTTACAACCAGAAAAAACTTAACTATAAAAAATTTGAAGAAAAATCATATGAATCTTTATATGACCACAGGACGGTAAAGGACTATTTAAACATTAAAAGCAATGAACAAACCTATAAAATGTATTAATTTCTGTACATTAAAAAATCCCATAGACACAATGGAAAATTGGAAATTTGTTATAATAAATATGATGAAGTTACACATAATAGACTTACCTGCTTAAAAAAAAGAAAACTCATATCGATGTGAAAAATACTTCCCATAGAAAAGCAGCAAAAGATTTAACTGGAAATTCACAAATGACTAATAAACAGTAAAACAAACAAAATAAAACAAAGCAAAATCACTTTACAGGTACTTAAAGAACATTATAAATTAAATCGGAGACAGTGCGTTTTCTCTGTCCAGCCTGGACGCGCAGGTCTCTGCGTGACTGCGCTGCACCACGGGGTGCTGTCTCGTGGTGACTGTCCAGGTGGGAGCCTCACTCACTACCTGTGGGAGCACAGACTCCCAAAACAGTCCTAGGAGAAAATTTAGCAACGGCTACTGAAATTCTCAAGCATGTTTATAAAATTCGACTTACAACCTTTCTAAAAATTTCTTTGGGAGAAATAATCAGGAAATTAAGTAAGGGTTTATATGTAGAATGTTTGTTGGAGCATGCTTTATAACAGCAAACATTTAAAAACAACCTAAATGGCAAACAACAGAAAACTGGATGAATAAATAACAATCTGTCTATTTGATAAAAGATGATGACATCACTGAAAATAATAACACTGAAAGTTAAATTATATGGGGGAAAAGTCACAACAGTTTGTTAGGTGAATAATGCAGATTGCAAAATTGTATACACCACGTAATCTACTATGATCATAACGGCAAAAAAAATATAACTATAGAAACCATAGAAATATATCTGCCAAAACTATAATAACTGTGGTTATTTGAAGGTGGTAGAATTTTCACTCATTCTTGGTGTTTTTTCTTTTCTAATTTTAATACAATGACTATATGTTGTGGGGTTTTTTGAGGAAGATTAGCCCTGAGCTAACATCTGCCGCTAATCCTCCTCCTTTTTGCTGAGGAAGACTGGCCCTGAGCTAACATCTATGCCCATCTTCCTCTACTTTACATGTGGGACACCTGCCACAGCATGGCTTGTCAAGTGGTGCGTAGGTCCACACTAGGGATCCGAACCAGCAAACCCTGGGCCACTGAAGTGAAACATGCAAACCCAACTGCTATGCCACTGGTGTGGCCCCTATGTTATTTTATAACTAGAAAACAGAATAAATGTTTTTCAAATAATCAAAAACTTCATAGAGACTACGATAGACTCATATGGTTTTCCTTTGTGGTTTTTCTAAATTTTCCATGACAATAGTCACTGTCTTAGTCTGCTCAGGCTGCCAAGACAAATGCTGTAGACCGAGTGCCTACGAAACAAGAGAAATTTATTTCTTTCAGTTCTGGAGGCTGGAAGCCCAAGATCAAGGTGCTGGCCAATTCAGTTTCTGGCAGGGACTCTCTTCCTGGCTTACAGACAGCTGCCTTCCAGTTGTGTCCTCACAGGGTCGGGGAGAGACAGCTCCCTTCCTCTTCTTATAAGGCCACAAATCTTATCAGATTAGAGCCCTATCCTTGTGACCTCATTGAACCTTACTTGCCTCCTAAAAGCCCTACCTCCACACACAGTCACATTGGGGGTTAGGGCTTCAACATAAGAATTTGAGGAACACAGTTCATTCCATAAGAGTTATTAATTTTCCTTCTGCTCCAAGGCGACCAAAGGGTGTGAGGGCTGAGTTCCTATCTGAGCTGGGAGCAGTGGGGGCTGTCCTAGAAATATGTACAGATAGATCTCTGGGAGAAACTCCGGCAGCTTGAAAAGATCTTACAGAAAGGTAATTCTTAGATTTTTCCCTACTTTACCACTAAAATGTCACTATTCTATAGAGATTATATTTTCTGTTTATAATCAGAAAAATTAGTGTTGTTTAATAAAAACATATACTAAATGCAAAATATGAGTTAATATATAGCTATGTCACTTGATTTTCACAAAGAGCCACTTTTATGAGACAAAGTTAATGAGTTTACAAAAATCTTTTGAAAATAAGGCACTTTCATTGCAATTAGGTTGTAAAATATGTAGTCAGCTTATGACCTTTAATGACATTCTTAATTCTCAGTTTTTCGAATGTATCTAAATTTACTTAAGCATCTTCTTTAAAGTGGGTAATATAAATTAAACGTTTGCAATTTTTGCAATAATAAAGGAACAAAGTTCTATACGTAATTCCTCTCTCACATCTATTTTGTGAGCGAGCTTTCGTAGACCAGGTGTTCTCAGGGTGGGCACGTGAGCATCTCAGAACCATTGCACATTGCCTGCGGATGTGAGGGACTTGTCTCTACAAATCAAAGGATCTGTTTCTCATTCTTTCAGCTTCCGCTCATGCATTCAGAACTCTGCTGGGCTGAGAAAGAACACCCTGGTTTTGAGATTCTGCACAATCAGAGAGATGATGCAGGGATGGGAGAAGAAAAACGCTTCGGGACAGGAGAAGGAGGGGCCCGGGCAATCATAAAACCATAAATCAGAGAATGATGTCGGCCCTGAAGAAAGAGCCACTAACCCTGGAGAGGGAGCCGCCTTGGCGCACTGATGGCAGATGGGCCTACACCAGCTGGAGATGAGAGCTGCTCTGGCGATGTCCAAAGGGTGCGTAGGAGGAACGCGGGTAAGTCGTCCAAATAGCGGCCGCAGTGAAAGGAGTGGAAGGGAGTCTGCACTAGACGGGACTCAGACACTGTCTGGGGTTTCATTACAGAGCAGAGTGGAACCTCTGAGATGTGTTGGCTTCTCACTCTGCTAGTAAATGTACCAACCACAGAAACTCTGAGCCTCTTTGGCCAGAGTCCCCAGTGAGGTCTGAACCGTGCTCTTCCCGTGGTCCATTTGTTTCACTCGCACAGTCCATTCTCCAGGAGTATTCTTTACAGCCTGACAGCCTGCAAGGAGCCGTTCCTAAGTGATCACAAAGAGCTCAGGCAGGTCCCCAAAAACAAGACAGACAGCATGGAAAAAGAAAGGAAAGATTAAAAGAATATTTTTAAAAAATAAAGCAAAGGAAGAAATAACGTGTAGAAAACTTTCAGGACATTTCCTAAGTATCTTTCAACACCCTGAGGCCACATTAATCTCCCCAAACATTGCTTTACCACGACAATCCTCCATTCAGAGACAACTCGTGGCTCAAACGCTTCAGTCTGGGATGTGTGATGGATGGAAGTCTGTCCCCCTAAAACTCATAGGTTGAAGCTCTAACCCTCAGTGTGACTGCATTTGGAGAAAGGGCCTTTAAGGGCAGAATTAAGGTTAAACGGGGTCATAAGGGTGGGGTCCTGATCGGATGGAGGAGGGAGACATGGGAGCTCTCTCTCTCCACGTGTACACGAGGGCGAGGCTGCGTGAGGACACACAGCCTGAGAAGGCAGCCACCTGCAAGCCAGGAAGAGAGTCCTTATCAGAAACCAACCCTTGCTGGCACCTTGATCTTGGACTTTCCGGTCTCCAGAACTGTGAGAAATAAATTACACAGCTGTGTAAGCCACTCAATCTGCGGTATTGTGTTATGGCAGCCAAGTAGACCAACGCAGATAGTATGTGGGGCCCACCACATGCTCGCAAACAATCTCTCTGGTTGTACATCTCTCTCCCTATTTCTCAGTCCGAGCACCATCTACTTAATGGGATTTATGAATTCTAATGTCCATACCGTTGTGTGCAGTGTCCCTCATCCTTGTTAATGCTTTTTCTGCCTAAGATGCTGAATCTTACCCATTTCTCAAGTTCCATGAGAATCCTGATTGATTCCTCTGTGGACCTTTCTCCTTCACCCCAGGTGGGCAGGGCGTCCCCCTCCTCTGAGCTCCTACCAGACTTCCTGTCTGAGCTGCTGACTTGACCTTTATCACAAGCTGATAGTATTTCTCTAAAAGGAACATCAACTCCCTTAGCAAATACATTTTTCTTACAAGGAAAATCTGCGTTCAGCATAACAAAATACGGAACACACCGAAAAACACACAGGAAAGAAATACCACCTTTATCAGGTCACCAATAATAAGACCTCCAATAAATACTTCCAACAATAAAGTCCTTCCAGTCTTTTTCTAGGTGTGTGCACGGATGTGCACAGCATCCCACTCCATGTGGGATGTTATATTATGTGTCTTCCACTCAGCATAACTTGAACATCTTTATTGTCGTCATTCTTTCTAAAGTTAGTTTTAATTGTTATAATATTCTATCCTATGTACTATAATTCAACAACTCCCTATTGAGGAGTGTTTAAATTATTTCTAATCTATCTGTGTTATAAATAGCCTTGTGATAAATATTCTTACCAAAAAATCTTTGCATAAATTCATGGAAATATCCTTGGAAAGTTCTAGAAGTACATTTTCTTATGATATGCACAGCCACATTGTCCCCCAAAAAGCTGTACTTCCACCAGCATGAGAGTGCCCATTTCTCTACAAACCCAAGTAAACTTTGATAGATTTTCAAAAGCTTTTGCCAACTTGAAATATTAATTTACTGAGAGCATAGACCGTGTGTTATTTATTCCTCCCACTGTTACCACTACTGTTGATGTTAACCTGTCAATTATACGGCGCAATAAAGTTTTCAAAACCTTTCCATATCCATCAATTAACAATACCTTACAGCATCTAGCACAATGCCCTTCATGTACGAAGTTCATAGAAAAATTATATGACATGGAATAATATTTATGGAGTGCCTTTTATACACTACGTGAGAGTCACATAAATCAAAGTCGCTCCTCCACCAGATAGATGTAATTTTTGTAAGAGTTAGTGTAAGTTTTTGCTATCCTGAGTCTGACAGGCACTCTGCAATCCTGTCGCCCCTGCTCTACCCTTCACCTGGTCTATTAATCTTTCCATCCTCTCTCACCGATGTGTCAGTTATAGTTGCAAATGGTTAAGTGCATTTTAAGACTTAGTATCTACAACACAAACTGAAGTTTTCGAAGGAAACAGCAAGGAAGAAAGACCCCAGCTTTGCTATAGAACCTTTTCCAGAATGTTCTCTACTGAAAAAGTTTTCACTCTCTTTCTAACATGACTTTCTTTTTTTCCCCATGTGTACGAAGTTCCCTTACTTGTATTCTTGGTTTTGAGGACATTTTCTGCATTTTTCTGTCTTCTTTCTCAAGTACAGCAGATTGGTTGTCAACTTCTGAGATGCGATTGCTCTCACAGTTCTTACTCAAAGACCCTGCCGAAGAGGAGTGGTCTCTCACACTTTGAAGTCAGCGTCCTCAGGCAGAGCTCCTCTGAGGTGCCGGTACCCTGGTGCCCTCACTGGCCTCCGTGAAGTCCTCCAGCTGGCCCACCACACCGTCTTGCCTTTCCCTGCACCCGCCAACATCACATCTTTATGTGACTTGCTCTCGTCCCAGAAAAACTTATAAAAACATTTCACAAAGTAAAAAAGCCAAACAACTACTCAAGATATCGCTGCAACAGGTAAGACTTTTTAAAAGTCTATGAAAATCCATTGATGAGGTGCCTAAACTTCTATTTACAACTAAGAAAATGTCAAACTTTAGAATTATCTCCTTGATATTGCAAACAACACATGAACTGCATTCATTTTTTCCTTAGTCCATGTTCCAAATTTGGAAGGTGAAAGTCAGCCATGGTTCCACCGCTCTGGGTAGTGAGAACATGGTGGGTTTCCTCCGATCGATACTGTTGTCTTCCCTGCAGAGAACATACCTAGGGAGTAATTCCTGATGGGGGAAAAATCGCTCTTTCGTGATCTGGGTTCAAAGTACAACAGGAAAATTATTTTAAAGTTTTAATTTTACTCTTTGGCTGCCATTGTTCTCTGCCGGCCAAGTGGCATCTTGGTTCACACTTGTGTCAGACAGCACTGGGCTTCACATTTTCACACCCATAAGCCCATTTAATCCTCATATCAACTCTGTGAGGAACGTGTTAGTCCCATTTTGCAGATGAGAAAATGCAGTTGAGGAAGGTGAAATAACTTGCCTGACCTCACAATCTAGACGCGTCAGAGCTGGGATGTGAGCTCAGATCTGTGGGACACCTCCTTTCACACTAGACTCACCCCTGAAATAGTTCTGCCCCAGGCGTAAGCGCCGTCTGCAGGTCTGCCCCCGTTTCGATAGATCCACACCCTTTTGGCGTTGGGTTGCTTATACAGGCTGCTCTGCCCGAGTGCTGTGCGTGCAGCTGGAATTGGAGAATTCCTCTTGTGTTGCCGTTCCTGGACTTCAGAAAGGTGAGCCTGTTAGGAAAAGCCCGTGTGTGTGAAGGCTGTCAGGACAGACAGAATCGTCTTATAATTGTAAATTATACTGAACAAAGTTTAGGAGTGCATTACGCTCTCCTGTCACTGACTTTTCTGCAAATTCTCCTTGCTTCCATGAACCACTAAGGGCAATAATAATCACAGAGTAATAATAATAAGGTACTTATTTTGGCAAAGCACTTAACCTTCATTTATAACTTGGAGAAATGAATAGAGACGTGTTTTGGATTTCTGCATGGTGTTTCTCCTACTGAGCCATTTCTCTGCATCTAACAATGAATTTTTTATTAGAATCACAACATCATTTCCTTCAACCAAGAGATGCTTAAGGGAGTGTGCGTGGCCATTGCAAGTCTTCCTTCTGCCTCTTAAAATATGGCTGCCACCCTACGCATTGCCAGATCCCTGCCAGGCAGCTTTTCATCCTACTTTGAGCAGGTCCTGTTCAATGCTCTGCACTCACTCCCTGGTCGGTGATTTATCCTTCTTAGCTTGGCATGAAATCACATTTCTAGCAATGTCAGTTTCCTTTTTTCTCGTAACCTTGACTTGGGCACACGCCTAAGATTTTCATTGAACACATTTCACGATTTGAGAAACCCTATTAAATAAGAACATATCATTTTGATGAAAAACTTCACAAAGCAAAAAGTTTTCCCAGGTCTCTATCCCCAAATCCTCTCTCAACAGCTGACCTTTCTCTTCTAGACTTTTTATGTCCGGCAATCCTGAATGATTAACCAATTGGACTGAAACTGCTTTTTGAATTCCTCACTTCTGAATGTCTCCATTGCAATTAGTATTTTGCTCCTTGCTCATTTTACATCTTGAGACATACCCTTAGGAGTGATGAGCAATGAAGCCATAAGGCTCAACTTGACTACGCGTATTGTAATTACCTTTGTACATATCCACTGGGCCTTTTTCTCTTCTTTGCTAAGGTCATAATTTCTCATCTCCATTCAAACAAAACAGACCTTCATACGAGCTGCTGTCTCTTAGATAACTGCTTGCCAAATGCCAGCTCAATGCTTGGATATGCTTATGTGGTCATGACTGACCAGATGCCGAGAATATATTAATCGCATAATTTAAAAATTCAATACTGTACTTTTAAAAGCTTATAAGAGAGGCCGAGTCTTGAATGTCTCAAGTCCTAAAGAACGTACCTCTGTATGTCTTATAAGGTCCATGAGTTTAATTTCCTCTCGAGTCTTCTCAGCCCAGCTTCCTTCCACCAGCACCGGCTGCACAGGGCTTTTGTTGGGAGCCATGGTGGCCGGCTGACGCGCTGCTACTCGCCGCCCTGGGGAAAGAAGTCTCTGGAAATGTTGTTTCTGATGATCGGCTTGCAGATTTCAAATAAATTGGTTTGGCTTTCTATGCATAAATCATTCCACTCGGGAGCATAGGCTAAAATACTAAATATATCATAAAAGCAAAGACGCCTAAGGTAATCATATCTAACAATGCCTCTTCACGTGGGAGCTTGAGGCTTTAAATAGCCGGGATGTGCATACTCACTGTACAGACAGAAAAGAAGGATAACAGGCTGACTTCCACACTGGCCCCAGCCTCTTACCCACGATATGGTTCAGCAGTAATTTAGTCAAATAGAATCTGTGACCTATATAGCCCATCGTCTCTTCCAGGCATGGAACATATGTTTTGTTCTCTTCACTAATAATAAGCCTTTCCCCCACAATTAGCTTAGCAGCCTGGGGATTAAGTATTTCTAAAATAATATTAACCCAAGAGACAGGAGGTCTTTTTTTCTATCTAATAATACCCCACGAGCACGGTTAGTTTCTGACAACTCTGCTGTGCCCTTTAGGCTGTTAAGAAGCTGTGGTAAGAGAAAATACTTATTGGAATACTGTATTCTAAAGAATCACAGGCATAATTTAATAAGTGTGGTGATCTGAATTTATGCATTATTTCAACTAGGCCACTTGAAATCATTATAAAAGAGGTTTAAAAGTCATACTTATGAACTTGTTTTCTTTTTCTGTGTCGAAGAGATACTCAGCACTGAGTCTCATACTGACCTCTAAACTTCTTAAGTAAAAATAATGCTTTCTCTTGTATGTTCCTTCCAGAAACCTGTGTTCAGCACCAGTCATGGGTCAGCATCGTGCTGGATAATGCAAATACAAATATGTTCAAGATCAAGTCCTCGCCTCAAGTTCCGCGGGACGCAGACGTCAAGGAAATGATCACACCAATAATTGTCTGCAACTGAGCTGCACAAGGGAAGGACAGGGTCTACAAAAGCATGTAACAGGGCTCACTGACCTGGTCTGAGGTGTCAGAGCAGGCTCTGAGAGAGTAACACTGGAGTGGATAAAATAACAGGCATACTAAAATGTAGTTGAGTCCTAGTTTTGTTACCAAAGGACTCTTAATGTGCGGGTTTTCAGACTATGACTACAAACAAAACTCTTTGAAATAATGCAACACTTGCAGAGGATAAAGCATTTGTGCTCTTATAGCTCAAGTTTGTGGAAATAGATCCAGCACTAAAAAGAAGCAGCAGCAATGACTTTTCAGGGAAACTAGAACTCTATGTACCTAATAAGCACTCATATGTAATTCATGGATGTGGAAAAAGCGTAATTGAATCAATCGGCCAATGAGTTACAGTGACAGTGCCATTAGGTAACTTGCTTCAGAGAAGACCATAGCGACAAGAGAAAAATCATAACATAAATTTATGCTGAATATAGTTTTTAGCCAACTGTATTCAGAAAGTGCAGATAACGTTAATTTATGATACCTACATTCTTACGGATAATATTTCAATAAATATTTTATTTACGATGCATTTTGAACATTAAAATTTTGCTCAACTAAAGAGAGTTCAGCAATGGTTTATCTTTTACACTGTTGAGAGCCAAACATTAAACATAGGAAACAGGAAAAACATTATGCATTACTTGTTTTTTGTTAACTTGCTTCTAATGGTCTTAAGAAAGTGAATGCATTTGCACTGTAATTTTCATAGAGACATAATGTCATCACAAAAGGTTTTTGTTCAGGGAAAGGTTTTCATAACAAACTATTATTTATATATGTAAGAATAACAGAAATTGAAACCAAGCAAAAACATATTGAATAAATTATTTTCTTATTACAGTTCCCATATACGCTATCTTATTTCACATGACATCAGGGGATAGCAATGATAATCGCTAACTATTAATGGGAAAGCTAGAGAACATGAGGGCTTTGCTGTTCTCTCAGACTATAAATCTCACCTGGACAGCTCTCCTCATCTCTCTCCCTTACTGGGACCCAACCTGGCTCAGCAGCCTGGGAGGGCATAGCCACCTCATTGGGGGTTTCAGTTAGCAGACCCATTTGGCTCTCACACTAAATAAAATGCTCCAGCATTGTCTTTATATGTAATAAAGGTGATGCTTTCACTTGACCTGCCATTCCTTAGTTGTATTCATTAGTTTTTAAGACCCAAAGTAGGAAAATAGGCTGCCTTCTCAGCAATCTCATCCTAATATTTATTGAATATTTATTATGTGCTAAGCATGTAGTAAATAGTCAACATTTGTTACTTAGCCATAAAAACTCTACAAAGTAATTACTAGCATTATGATTAATATTAATTAATATTAATTAATCGGAATCATGCTTATAAATAAAATGTGACATCATCACAGTACTTTGTACATAGTATATGCTCAATAAACATTTGTCACATTTACCAATGGTTATAATAATAGTAAATAATCAACTCTACAACTATTCATACTCCCCACACCTCCCCTTTCATCTAAGGAGCTCACACGCTAACAGGGACTGCAGTTAACTGCACTTAGGCTTGTCCTTCTTTATCCTCACAATCCCGACAGCTAGAAAAGGCCTTCCTCAGAGGAGGTGTTTAACAAGCATCTATTGAATTTACCTCTAATATAGGAAAATATACCAGTTTGTCAGTAGAGACAAGATTTATCCTAGCACTAAACTCTAAGAGAAACTATACATCAGTGGAGCCCTCCATAATGGACACCATCTGACCAAATGGAGACTGTTTTCAACAGACGTATGATAGATGGTGGCAACTGAACTTTAAATGTCTTTATAATACTTAATTATAATAAAAGCCAAAGACATGATATAAAATCGGAATTCAGTAAAGGAAGCTCTGCCAGGTGCTATTTTCAGTATGTTGCTTTCTATTGATTTAACTTGTTATAGGAACAGAGCTTAGGAAATTCACTGGAGTGAACGGTTGAAATTCCATTCATTCTTTAATTCAATCATTCTGTAACTATTCAGAGAACAAATAAGAAGGGTATAGAATTCATAATGTAACACAGAAGAGACAGTCACAGGAACAGGTAATTACAATAATGTGATGAGGACGACCAGAGGGGAAGTTCAGGGCAAAACACATTATCCCTGATAATTGGAATGTTCGAGAAGGCTTTAGGAAGAAATAACACATAAACTGAAAAGTATGGAATGAGTGGACCAATCCAAGAGGACAAGAAAGAGAAAAGTTGAGGCAGAGGGAACTGAATTGTGCAAAAAACTCAGAGTTACGAACACAGAGCATGTCTAGGGGACTGAAAAAAGTCCAAAAGAGTAGAGTGGATGGCAGAAGGATGGTGGGAAGCTGCAGAGAACCAGACCATGGAGGGCCGTATTAAGGAGTTTCAATTTCACCTTAAAGATAATAGGGATCTTTGAAGGTTTGTTTTGAAGGTTTTTTGAAGGCCTGGAGGACCATAACACCTTTGCATTTTTCATGGCTGCTCCAGCTCCAGAATGTCACCCTTATGCACAGAATGGAGGAAGGGAGACCAAACAGAAGGCTGTCTCAGTAATCCAAGGGACAGACGACAACAGCTTAGACTTGGGTAATGATAGTGGGAAGTAAGACAGTTGGAACTCAGTAAGATAAACTTAACAGATTCAAAGCAACAAGACTTACTGACATTTGTTGGAGAAAGTGAGAGACAGGGAGAGGCCTGGGATGCCTCCCAGGCTCTGAGAGAGAACACCTGGGTGAGTGGTGGTAGTGCCCACTGCAGGAAAAAATGAAGGAGGCAGGGGGTGATATTACGGCTTTAGTCTTGGACATGCACATGGGACATTCAAATGACAATGTCCAGTAGTTGCAGTTGTCTAGAAGTTAGCAGTAGCAATAGACACTTTTCACTTATAACCAACAATCCTTCTGGTAAGAACCAGAAAACAGCCATTTCAGCCCAGAGTTCTGTCTGCTGCAGGTGGAACTAGTTATGTTGCTTACTGAAGTAAGAGTCTCATGTTTTGACACCAGACAGTGCACATACTCAGGAGTTGAAATCCTGCTACGACAATTACAGAGCCTGAACTGTATTCCTTCCCAGACTGAAGTCCACAGGACATTTTCTCCCCAAAGAATCACTGGATATCTTAAGGGCTCGGAATAATATAAGGTCAGGAAAACCAACAGGGTGGCTATATGACCCAGACACCCCGCTAAATTTTTAATGTACACATAAGTCATGTGACATTGATTTTAATATAAAATTTACAAATATAACCTCAGTACTGAAAAGATACACCACAAGGTTTTAGACTTGCTCCAGTGACCTCTGTAACACATCTTTATATACTACTCAGATAAACATCTGGCTTCTAACAGCAGAAAAAACTACCAGCAAATTGAGGTTACATTTAGAATTAAACATGGTGATACTTGATTTAGTTAATACTGACCTCTTAACTGTCTCATTTTGTGTTTCATGGTGTCTAGATCAGCCAAAATTTTGTCCTTTTTTAGCCAGTTCTGTTTTTCTAATTTTTCTGCTTTCTGCAAAGCTAGAATAATAAAAATACATGATATTTTACCTTGTACTATTTTATCAACAGTAATTTATCATGTAAGCCAATAATTTATAAAGAACCTTTTGTTCCAAGAAATAGATTCAATTAGAAAGAAGTAATTAAAAGGTGAGGGTCATTAACAGAACCCTCATTTGAAAGATGACAGGGCTTAAGGCATTTCTTTACGGAATGAGGGGAAAAGAGGAACAGTGCTGTTTTATTCTATAGATTTACCACATGCAATAGTCATATTGCATTTTCCACTTCCACAAACTATTTGGAGGTGATGAAAGCCTGGCTTGGAACCATTCATTTTTTAAACATCCACCTACTGCCTAAAGGGTGCAATTCTTAAAAATGAAAATGTGCAGACAGGTCGTCTTCAGTGTGAATTAAACTCATTTGTTATTTTCTAATGTATATCATTATTCTCAGTCTTAGAGACCAAAGATCTCTTTATCAACTAAATTAGACATTTTTCCATGCAGAATACTCCATTCCAGTAAGAAAAAGCAGGCGATTGTGCAAATACAGGAGCACAGCTGTGCTTGTGCACATGGTAATCGATGGACCTCTTGCTCTTTGCATAAATGCGATGTTATTATGTTGATACTATACACATTTAATTCATTTTCTTACAGAGACATAAAATTTATTTCTCTGTCCCTTTGTACACTTGCTTGAAAGAAAGCAGAAACAAAAAACTTACCATTCGGAGATAGAAATGGTTCCCCACAAGATATCCAGACGGCAATAGGATTTCTAAGGACAAAAGCGAGGCGAGACCTGTCTACATCATCTAAGCTGTCGGTCGGCACAGACTGGGGAAATAGTTTGGTTTTCACTTGCATTCTTGGGTTTTCTGGGGAACAAATGACACAGTCGTCATTGTTCAATGAATAATGAATAAATTTGCTTACTGAATTCATTTGTTCATTCAAAGTATTTCATTCTTCATTAATGACTTGATTTAAACAGGCAATACCAAAACCAGATGCTGATATATAAATTTGATCAGAAACCTCATATGCAACCAAAGAATTTAAACTAATCTGATTGTAAATATACGTTTTAGTTTCTTCCTTACACTTCCCCTAGTTCTGAAAGAAATTTGAAGTGGCTTACCAACATATCTACTCTGAAAAGGGATAAAGTAAAGATAAGAAAACCAAGCAAAGGGGAAAAGGACTATAGAAATAGACTAAAGCCAGAGATAGGCGCCTAGGCATCCTCATCTTTTAAATGGATGATAGTATCGACCTCACTCTGCTGCTGCGAAGATTAAAAGAAAAAAAGGAAAGTGCTTAGAATAAACAGTGTTTGGTCTATTTAATTGGGCAAGCATCCAAAAAATGCTACATAATATTTGTATTATTAAATGATAATGAATACAATTTTTTGTTTGCTAGAGATAAATCACAATTTGGGCTCTGAGCTTCCTAGTGGCCAAAGCAAAGAGGAAAACACAATTTTAATATTCGCACGGCCCACACAGATAAACTCCTCAGAAGATACACCTTCCCTGGTCCTGGGGTCTGAGAGAGATTTATTTCAGGGTCTTCATAAAGGAGTTATTTGTGAGATAGCTAACAGTATCCTGCAATAGAAATTAATATACATTGAGAACACACTATGTGCTGCGCATTTTAATAAGACGTCTACATATGTTATCTCATGAAACGCTCAAAAGGACACTCTGAGGAAGGTCTGAGCCCAGTTTACAGATAAGGTAACTGAGAGTTAGTCACACAGCTAGGCAGTGGCAGAGCCAGGATTAGAACCCAGATCAACTGCCTCTGTAGTGAGCACGATGCTGAGTTGTGACTGATGTCTGTTTCTTTAAAGTTCCTCAATGCCAACTGAGGGCATAACCCCAAGCCATGATTCAGCACAGGGGGCAGCCCGCTGACGGGCCTCCCTGATTCGAGGATGACCTTTAGATGTAGAGGGGAGGGGATGACCTCCTGGTAGTCCTGCACAAACAACATTAGTTCCAACCAGGTTTAGATAAGAATTTGAAAGAAGAGTGTTGGAGAAGGCAATCTTCCAGAACCTGGAGATCAGAAATTCCAAATGCCAAACAAAGGCAGAACTATATGCTTTAGTGATCAGCTGGGCATGAAATATTCTCACTATTATTTTTAAAAACTCATCAGAAAACAAAACAAATAATATCACTGTGAGATAATAGGAAATATATATATTGGTCTCTGCCCCCAGTTCTTGGCACAGAGCTCCTTAAATCTTTTTAATTTCCTACGTGATCAGAGCACTAGGAGCCTCTCTTGTTCTAATATTTGGTCTCTGCTCCTGGTTCCTGGCACAGGGCTCCTAAATCCTTTGGAATTTTCTGGGTGATGGCAGTGTCTTGTTCTAATGAGGCAACTCTTGGTGGGCTCCTGGATGGGGCTGGTCACCAGAAAGACCACGCCATGACTAGAAGTTTAGTAGTTTCAACCGTTGTGCCCCCTTCTCCAGGAAGGGAGAGGGGCTGGAATGGAGTTGATGACCGGTCTTGCCTACACGATGAAGTCTCCATTAAGTCCCGAAAGCTTGAGGTGCAGAGGGCTCCTGGGTTGGTGAACATATGGAGGTGCTGGGAGAGCGGCGCCCCAGAGATGGCATGGAAGGTCCACGATCCTTCTTCACACCATGCCCTACGCATCTCTCCCATCCAGTGTTCACTGTATCCTTTCTCATATCCTTTTGTAATAAACTGGTCATCTTGTAAGCAAACTGCTTCCTGAATTCTGTGAGCAAATTAATTGAACCGAGGAGAGAGTCATGGGAACTTCTGAATTATAGCCAATTGGTCAGGAGCACAGGTAACAACCTGGCCTTGTGATTGGTATCTGAAGGGTGAAGTCTTGTGGGACTGAGCCCTTAACCTGTGGGATCTGATGCTATCCCCACGTGGATAGAGTCGGCGTTTAGTTAAATTGCAAGGCACCCAGCTGGTGCTATAGGATTGCTTGGTGTGGGAAGAAACTCCGCAGAACTAGTGTCAGAAGTGCTGTGAGTGTGATAGACGTGCGAGAGCAAAGGAGAGACACACGGGAGGAAGAGTGGGTTTTCCCGACTCAATCCTGTGCACAAGAACGATAGCTAACACTCTTTGACTGTTTGTTAAGTGTCAACCAGGCACTGTTATAAGTGATATATATACTCACATACATATATTCAGATCCACATGTACTCTTAGGAGTACAAATTCATATTTACGAGGACCAAATGAGGATACATTCACGTGACTATGAGTGTCTTCATTTTACAAATGAGGAAACTGAGGTACACAGAGGTTAAGCAACTTCCCCAAGATCATTCAGTTGGCAAGTGTCAGAGTTTGGATGTGAACCCTGGCATTCTGGCTCCAAAATCCCCACTCTCAACCTCTGAACCGTGCCTGTCACAACAACAGTACTGGGCACCTGCTGTACCCGCAGAATCTCTGCTGGCCAGACTCTTTCTTTAAGCAAACTGTTGTGGGGGACATGTCCCCGCCTCAAGCTGAGCACAGTCGAGCTGTGAACAGGCAGAGGCAATCCTGCTTACAGGAGCCCTGGAGACAGGCGGGGTGGGCGGGGGCGAGGGAGGCGGGCCCTATAGAGTGGAAGCCGGGTCTTCTCATGACTGAGCAGGTTTGCATTGACCCAGCTCCCCTTTCTTAAGTGGTATCCAGTTGGTTTGGGTTCTGAATTTAAGAACAAAACCTGCTTGTGTTGTATAAACTAGCTAAGCTGTCAACTTATTTTATAAATTCTAGGCAATTTATTTATTGTTTTGGTGCTGAAACCAAATCTACATTATTCTTTTATTTTTGTTTTTATTCTGCAAGGTGAGGATGATTTAAGAATCTCAGGTGAGAGGAGCTTTCTGTGGTTGTCATTCTAGAAGGGGTAACTGAATGAAAGAATCACATTTAACCTTTTTATGATCAAACATAAGTCGAATTGGTTAAACCCTGTCAAATGTAACCAACCTTTCATACTTTTAACTGTTGTCTCTTCTGTTCCGACAGGGGCTGCCTCTTTCTTTCGTCCCTCAGAGTCTCTCTGGATAAAAGATTCGCCTAGAGCCCATAAAACCAAATCACGCAAGGAGCAGACCGCGGTTCCATCTTCGGTGTACACTTTGGAGGCTGCTCGGGCAAGACCAAGCCGTTCCGTGCATTCTGTAAGAAGCTAGACAACACCGACTGGTCAGAACTGAGAGGAAATCGTGAGAGAACTGGGAATAATCAGGAAGACCTTATTATTTTAGAAATCTGAGAAAATCCTGTAATTTGAGAAAATAGAAAGCTGAATAACTACCGATTTGATCTTTGATTAGAGACCATTTCTGATATTAGATTAACCTACATAATCTCACAAAATTAGTCCAATCCAGCTGAGAAAGTTCTTAGCTCCAGAAATGTAACACAGCAGTTGACATTTGTTAATGCATTTTATCATCAGAGTATCTATTTGCTAAGAAATGTTCAACCTAGAAATTCACTTTCAATTTTGCTGCCTTGTAAGGTATAAATTGTGACCACTCCATATTGATGACCTGCTTTAAAATGAATGAGTAGTTGACTTTCAAACCAGGAAATGACACCTATTGTTACTTCCATTTGCAGATGGGAAAACAGGCCGAAGGATTAATATTTTTGCCCAAGACCACAAAAGCCAGCTGTGGAGCTCAGGGTGAATCTTGGAGTTGCTAACTTTTGTACTTTGCTTAGTCTGTTGAACAACATCATCTTTATAAAAAATGTACTTGTATTCCACCAAGGAGGTGAGCGAAGGAGTCTGTGTGTGTGGGTGCATATGCGAGGAAGGCTCCAGGGTAAGAGCAGATCCCATCTACCAACGCTTGTAAAATATGCTGTCAAAGGTGCTGGCTGGAATGGACAGACAGGATAACCGCCAAGCGATGGAAGGACAAAGCTGGGTGTGGGCCCTTTGGGCTCTCCTCCCTTCCTGCGACCCTGGACACAGCCTCTAAGGCGGAAAGCACAGATTCTCTCCCGGCACAAGTCCTGCTTCGCCAGTGCGAACATGAAGTGAAACACCCTATGGACAAACGAGAGCTCAGATTCTCCAAATGACAGATGAGGCAGGGGCCCCTCGAACAGTCAGACGACACGCAGCTTGAAGCCAGAATGGGAGCAAGGCAGAGAGGCATTGTGTCTGTCACAGAATGAAGAAAGTCTGGTGGCTTTGTTTCCCCTGCTTTTGTATATCTTTGCTCTGGAGCTAATCTAAAAACCACATTCTGGTTTCTCACTTTTCTAAGGCTGTATCCAAAGAAATACAATCAGAAAGAATATGTTTAAGAAACCAGAGATCTTGATCTCATCAGCTTAAATTGGTGAAGCTGGCCAGGGACATTTATCACTCAATCCCACTGCTTTTTTCTTGTCAGAGGAATCACCATTATCGTTACCTCTGAGGATGCGAGAAGCATTTAAGTGATAGCCACTTACCATGGGGAATGTTCCAGCCACAATTAACTTCCCATTTCGATATCCGTCTCCGTTTCTGTATGCAATTATTTTCACTGCCTTCTGGTGCGTAGCTGCCATACCACTATGAGATACAACTTGCGTGCGGGTCTTCGTCCGTAAAGATGATAGGCGGTCTTCATAATAACCTAGAGTTTTCTCAGCCTTGTAAGAAGATAAATCAGCCTGATTTAAAAAAAAAAAAAAAATCATAGGTCTACTCAAGCTTTTTTCTTTCAGTGTTGCTATTTTGGTATACATCAGTCTTTTAATGAATATGTGTGTGGCGTCTCCATTTTGAAATGCTCACTTCAAATGTATTGGAGGCTGCAGTGGGAGGGACTCTGGGTAGGAACTCAGTTCTCTTCCCAGCCCTGTCCCTGAGGCTTTAGGTGACTTGGGCCTCCTGTGTTTCTGGCCTTCTCCTGTGACAGGACATGAGGAAGGATGCCTGAGCCAGAGAGAGCAGGGCATGAAGGATCGGGACGCCAGCACCACAGACACGCTCTCTGTCTTTACCTTTACCTTTAGGACCGAGGAAGGGGGAGGGGACAAGTGCAGCCTTAAGCACTGCTCCTCTCCCTCCCCACCCCTGCTCCAGAGGGAAAAGCTCTGTCTGAGATGCTCTAACACTGGGGGGTTCTCTTCCATCAGCTCCCCACCTACTCAGCGCTGCCCCCCCATCACCAAAGAAGCCAAATGCCTTCAGACTCCCCCAGAGGAGTGACTGCCTTTCTCCTTCAGTTACTGCTCCAATTGGTGTTTATGGGAACTATGACTGTCCCAGCCCCTCCCTGCAGTGTGTCAGGTTCAGGGAGAGAGGAGAGTGGGCTGGGATGGGTGGGCAGGCCCTGAAGAGCACCAGGCCAGAAGGCTGCCCACCTCTCAGGAACCGCTCCTTTCCCACAGATGCGTAAGTTCCCCTTAGCATGTCTCACTTCTGAACTTGAAGGAGAGGACTTTTCAAATGGTGCCATTTTAAATTAAGATCACAGGAAAGCGGCAGAGATTTTTTTCTCCAGGAGCTATTAATAGTATTAGACGAGGATGCGTGAATTCAGCACCCAACCTGAAGTCATTAACAAGGACACGTCCAATTCCCCCTGAAAGGCTTCATACCAGTAAAAGGGAGTCTGCCCTGTAGATATGGGCAGAAAGCTGCTCCACTAAGGGAAGATTTGCAGTTCCTTCCTCCTCTAAAAGCAACACGGAGAGCAGGGGAAGGTGTCAGAAGATGATTAAAGCCGCAGAAGTGCCCAATTAACTTCAAAGAGTCTATCGAGCTATTAATAGACAATGTATTTTAAATTACTTTGGGGAAAAGGAAATCAATGCAGGTGGAGTGGTAAGGGTGCAGCAGAGGAAGATGAATCGGATGAGTGGAGATGAACTTGAGTGCAGACAGATAATGAATGCATCAAAGTTTCCAAACTGATACCACACACGCATCAGCAGAGCCCAGATCGTTACACACCTCGGCCACTGTGATGGCCTTGAAAGGCCCTCGCGAGAAGGGCTTCTGGGTCTGGGATCCCGAGGCACAGAGGAACGGCAGCCCAGGAAGCAAGAGTTTCAGTCCTTTCTCTGCTCTCCTGGATTGTCCACATGCCAAGCAGAGCATCGTTTCTTTCTTTCCAGCAGGTGAGAGATAATAGTACCCCTAAAAAGGGAAAAGATGCTTTCATGTGGGTGCATCTAAATTATGACAGCATTTTTGCACAACACTTTATAATACAAATAAAGCACTTTTATAATCCCCAAATGCCAAATTTGAAATTTCAACATGAATGCATTATTTTACTCCCTAATAATTTCATTTAAAAAGAACATGTTTCCAAATTCTGTTGACTGAAAAAGCCTAGAGGCAAAGAAAATTCAGCATCAATGTGTGTAACTCATGTCCAGGATCAGAGTTTCTTGGAGGAATGGCCGGTTTCAGATTTGAGGCAAGAAATATACAAGATTAGCAAGGTTTGTCACGTGGTACCCAGAAAGAAAAGAAGCCAGCCAGGAGTGAAGGAGTCATGTCGAAATGACACAGGAGCCAAGGTGAAGCGTCTTCACTGGCCCAAAGTGGGACAATTTGGGAGCAATGAAACACTTTGAATATGTTTGAATACGTAAAATTCTTAGTTCATAATGATGCTAAAAATATAAGTTAAAACAACAAACACAACAAAAAACAACAAACAACAAAGCCACAATCAATGGAGTCCATTGGAAGTAAACTGGCACCAATCTATAACTCTGACATTTGGCCTTAGGAAGATTCAAGATGGCCACAAAAAAACTATCCCACTCTTGTTTGCAGGCCCTTCTGAAATGTGACTTTGCTGCTCGTCCAATCAAGAAATACAATGTCTTTCTCCTTTTCTCCTTTCCTTGAATCTGAGCAAGGCCATGTGACTTGCTTTGGCCACTATAGCACGAGCAAATGCCATGCAAGCAGATGCATAAGAAGTGCTTGCACACTGGGGCTTGTTATCTTTTGGCTGCAACTGGAACCCTGAGACCACAGTCTGAACACACCTGAGCCAGCCTGCTCGAGGAGCCTTGAGGAGAAAGAACCAAGGTGCCAGCTCACAGCCGCCAAGCACCAGACAGGAGAGGGAGGCCATCTTTGACTGTCCAGTCCCCATAGAACCACCAAACTACTGAAGCACCACCAGATGACACAGCCACACGACTGACCTCGGGCAAGACCAGCAGAACTGCCCAGCTGAGCCCAGCTCAAATTATTGACCCACAGAGCAAAGATAGTTGTTGGTTTAAGCCACTAAGTTTTCAGGGGGTTTGTTACACTACAATAGATAAGTGAGATGGAAAAAATTAAGCATTCATCCTACCATCCCTTACAAAGCATATTTTTGGGTAGTCAAATACCTAGTTGAAGAGATAAAATTCTCCCTTACATTAAAAGTTCAGCTAATAAAGGTGGGTAAAAGGGATAGAATTAGACAAAATTGACCCTTTTGAAACTCCTAATGAAATAATTGATTTAGGCAAAGATCACCAACAGGTGACACGAGAGCAAAAGTCATTGGGAATGTTTTTAATGTGGGATTAGGTTGTAATCGCCTGAATCCACTGATAACTGCTATCAGTAAAAGTGGAAAATCCAGACATTGTTTGCCTGCTTATGTGATAAATATAAAAATCCGTGTAAAATCTAGGAAGATTCTTGTCCCAAAAAGTTGAACATAAATCTAGTTACAGAGTAACAAAGTTGTTGCTTAGAATCATCTAATTGTGACCAACGAGTTGTTGTTGCTGCTACTGTTGAATATCAGCATGAACGTACAAATTTAAACATATTTGATGTTTGTGAACCCGCCACATTCATTAGTCTTACTGACACTTAGATGGTTTCGTCTTTGGACTGGAAGCCTTCTCAAGTTGACTTGATTCCTTTTAAGATGGCCTTAGTGGTCTCTGACAGCATGTTTGCTGACTGGTGTGAGTGTACAGATGAAGGAGAAAGGGCGGGAGGGAAAGTGCAGTCAAAGGCAGAGACACGCAAAACGGCGTGGCACATTCGGACAACCACGAATCCTTCCGTAGAGCGAGGGAACGACGAGTGAAGGAGACGCCGCAGCTTAGAGCCGGCTGAGGAGCGGAGTAAGGAGGGTCTGGAGGGTCTTGTGTACATCGTGAGATTTCAATTTTCTGTAGGCTGAAGGTCGTCAACGATAGCAAGGTGGGTTGACCCACTGACCCACAGATGTCTCAGGTGTTGGTAAAGTATGGTGCAAGTGACTCCCTACTAACAAGAATTGTAGGACCAAACTTGATAAATGGCTTCTTTAGAAATCAGAGTTTACTGACGCTTATCCCTGTGCTTGGTGCCATGTGATATTGTCAGAGACGCAGTCACCTCACTTCCATAAGCTGTCTGGAGTGCAGTGACCCCAGTGTGGCAGGCACCCCTGGGGAGCACAGACGTGTGATTACCCTGTCTCATGCGGGCTCTGGAAACCCGGCAATGAAGCAAAGGCGGTGCTGATGGCGGTGAGCCAAGAGCAGCAGAGGGCAACAGCAACACCCCTACGTTCTTTCCCAACCAGTCACAGAGGCCAAGCAACTTCGTCACAAGTCACTGCTCGATTTGTGTGAACATAGGGTTTTCTAGAAAAAGATTTTTCTTGCTTTATTAAATTACCCCATTTTCCCCTATTTTTCTTTAATCGTCAGTAGGAAGGAACCACTCACTGGCTGATGGACGTTTTCCCCTTTGATCACAGAGGCTGTGCAGACACCCGCGTAATGAGCCGCTGTGGTTTCCTTGTCCAGGGCAGTGCTGTGAAAGGCCACGAAAGCTTTCACACTTTCCACATACTTCCACCTCTGATTGGAAGCCCCATTCTTATATGGCTTATACTTCTGAAAAGGACAGAAAATATGGAGCCAAACAGGAGAGTTCATGATTTAGTTATAGCAGTCAGAGTTTTCACTACATAAACTCAGAAAGTATAGAAAATTACTCATAATTCTACCATGTAGTTTATAACTACCGTTGATATTTGATGATTATATACACAATATTTTTTATATTCATACATAGGCATTCTTTAATTTAAAAAATGGAATCACAAAATAGATACAATTTGGTAACTGCATTAGTTGTTTTTCTTAACTTAACAACATTCCATGAACCTTTTCCTAACATTTTTTAAGGATAGATGCCATTTGATCTTAGGGATATTTTATCTTACCAATCCCCAATAGTTAAACGTAGATTGTTTCTCAAATTTTCCTTATTATAAACAAAAGAGCAATGAACAATCATATAAATCTTTGTGTAAGTCCATAATAACTTCTTTAGAACAAACTCCTCAAGTAGAATTGCTGATAAAATAACGTGATCATTTCTAAATGTTACAATGTGTTATACGAAGCTTTATCACACAAAATGCTTTCTAGAAAGGTCATTCTAGTTTACACTTACACCAACAGTATGTGAAATGGCCTGTTTTCCTCACACTCTTGCCAAAACATCATCAATATAACAAATGAAAAAAGTACCTTGTTGATATCTTAATTTATATTTCATTGGTTATCAAGGAGGTTTTTTTAAAGGTGAGGACAATCAGTTTTATTGTAATAGAAACAGTATATTTATTCTAATTATAAAACTTGGCTCAAGCATAAGTAAAGAAATGAGTTGTGTCAATTTCAGAGAATTTAAACCAGTATATTAGTCAGCCCTGGTATCTAGTGGTTAAGATTGGGCACTCTCACTGCCACTGCCTGGGTTCGTTTCCTGGTCAGGGAACCACACCACCTGTCTGTGGGTTGTCCTACTGTGGCAGCTGTGTGTTGCTGTGAGGCTCAAAGCTGTGCCACCAGGATTTCACTTATCAGCAGGGTCGCCCATGGTGGACCTGTTTCAGCGGAGCTTCCAGACTAAGACCAGGAAGAAGGACCTGGCCACCCACTTCCGAAAAAATTGGCCGCGAAAACCCTATGAGTAGCAGCGGAGCGTTCTCTGAGACGGCACCACCGGAAGGTGAGGGGATGGAGCAGAGGGACCGGGTAGGCTTCCCTCTGCTGTCCACAGGGTCACTAGGAGTCAAAATCTACTCCACAGCACGAACAGCAAGCCAGCAGTAGACTAGTGCCAACTGAGCACAACCTGACACCTCAAGGAACTTGCTCTACCAAGGAGAGACTGACAGCAAAGAGGAAAATACAAGAAACAGGGAGAAACAGGGAGGAGGTCTAACAACGTTAGCCTAACATGACTCATTTTTATTATTTTACATGAACTTTAATATTTTCTCATAAACTGATTACTTCAAGAAATAAAAATGAAATACCAGAGAAGAAAAAACCTTGAAAGGGAATACCAATTACCTTGGGATCAAACTCATTTCTTATGAAATGGGAACCTTAGGGGAAAACATTCATATCTATAATTTTATGAAACTGATTAAGGTACTAAATCTGTATCTGCAGAGGTTTGATCTCACTGTGATCTGTACCAAGAGGCACCTGGCAGGGAAGAGGTGATGTTATGTACTGCGTCTCCCCCCACTTATCATCAGGACAGACTTAATTAAGCTTTGATATCTGTCCAGATTGCTATGTCCCAATTTTGAATTCAAGTTGCCTCATTGTATTAAAAATATAGAATAAAACAATGTTCTTTGGAGACAATGTATTCTGTTTAACAGGAAGATGGTAAACACCGTGGAGGATGCAGAAAGCAACGCAAGCACAGGTGCTCCTCAACCCTTGCCTCCGCCCAGCAGGGAGAGCGCGTGGCTGGCTCAGGGCAGCTTGGGTTACACAGAAGTGAAGATGACGGGCGAACATGAAAGAAGAGCTCCGGGACCTCACCCCCAACTCAGCGGAAGCCAGACTTCTCTGGGTTCTCCAAAAACGGTCTGGCTGCAATAAGCATTTGCAAAATTATGTCAAAGGTGTATCTGAAATGAGTCTCAGTAGAATTAACACTGAGGAGCTCAGGCCCTCCAGGGCGACCGCTTGACCAGGTTCTCTCCCTCCAGTAGCCAGGTAAGAGGGGGCGTGCATATGTCCCCCGTCGCTGACCTTGAACCAGGTGCAGCTAACAGCCACTCACCTGGCTGCATCCACAGCCGGGACTGTCAGCTCCATGAACGCTCTGGGACAATTTCTCGTGCTTGCCACTGGATTTGACTTAAGTAACTAGCATAGCTCCTGACATGCAGCAAGCCCACAATCACCATCTGTCAGATTAAACTAAATTAAGAGCTACGTGAACAAGCTCAATTTGAAATTTAGGCAGACTACTGTAAATATTTTAACAACCGCATTCAAGATAGGTTTCTATGACAGCCATTTTCGTTCTCCACTACAGGGAAGCATGGAGCTTTACTGAAATTTAACTACATAAAGGGCCACACCTGCTCTTTCACCTGTATATCTATCTTACCTGAACAATAACTGGATAGCCACAGACTTCATTCCCAGCCTTAGTCATAGACACCGCCAGCACCAGCTCCGGGTCGCTCACCAGGTGGAAGGTCCTTGGGAAAACAGAATGAGGCACATTACCAAGTAGCGTGAGCCCTCAGAACTCCCCCTGTGCCACTCGTCAATGTTGCCTCTTGGCTCCATACGTGCCCTGTGATAACTGATGTAAATCCTCTGAGCATTTCTCCCCTACAGAAAGCACCATGTCAAGCTTCCTCAGCAGAGGTGCTGAAAGTCCACTGCAGGAGGAGGGGCTCTCCTGCTCCTTCTGGCTGCTGCACGGCGTCAGTGGTTGGGAGTGAGGACATCCAGTGATGGCTGGCCCAGCACATTTCCAAAATGTGCAGTCCATCGGCACCCTTGCAGCTCTGGCCAGGCATGGTCATCATCTGCTTGTGGTCCCCCAACATGGCCATGATGGGCTCCAGGCCTTCTGCCGCACCAGCACCCCCACTCCCTTTGCACACCCATGTGCCTACAACCAGCTGCGCCCCCACACATGTTCCAGCAGTTGCTTCCTGCTTGCCCAGCAGCCACAGACCGTGTCCAGTGAGCTGCAGCCAGACCCTTCCCAGCGAGTTCTGAATGAGGCGGGGGCAGGCCCCATTCCAGGGCCCACCCCCAGCCCTCGAGTACTTACAGTTTGTTTGTTTGCTTTTAATGTCTTAGACTTACTCTTTATTATCATTTAATAATTCCCTATATTAGACCTCCTCTGGTTAAATCACTGATCACACCCAGGCTGATACACTCTCCTCACCCATTTTGCTGCTCAGAGAGGCAGTGAGGCAGCACGATTAAGAACATGCCTGTTGGAGCCACAGTACCCCAGCGTGAATCCTGGGTCCACCTCTCAAGAGCTCCACGGCTCTGCTTAACGACTCTGTGCCTCAGTTTCCTCATCTGTAAAATGGGACAAACGTGCACACCTCACAGGACTATTGTGGGACTCAAACGAGTCGATGCATATAAAACGCACAGGATACTGTCTGGCACACTGCTCTTAGGCTCAGCTACTATTATTAATGGTTGTGACTTTTTATAGCTTTTTTAAAAAAGTTTTCCCTCAAAGTGCAAGGTATCTGTTGAATGTTTCTAAGTGATCTTACACTGAAGCTAGCATAAAACATCCTTGACGAAAAAACAAAGTTATTGAGCTAAAACCCTCCAATTCTTTTCCCTTGCATCCCTTAAAAGCAAAAATAAACCAAACATTCGAGGCTCTTGTCTGTATAGGAAAAGCCAGTTCTTTACACCTGTCAACATAGTTGCTTTGCAGACCAGCACTGGCATTCCTGCTGCAGAAAACATAACTCGTCCCGAATATAAAATGTAAGGATGTAGGAGTGGAGGGAAGGGGCGAGCAAAGGTGGGAGAGGATCTGTTATAAAAATAATACATTTTTCCTTGTGAGACTTAAAAAATTCCAGATCTCTCATTTAAATCTCTGAACATAAAATAATATATCCTCATTGTAAAGAATTTACAAAGCCCTGGAAAATACAGTACAAATTACACAGAATTTTAAACATCACTCTTATTCCTACAGGATAATCAGTATTAATCTCACCTTTATTTCTTCCATCTATTCTTAGTTAATGAAGTATCACTTTAAATCCAAAATGGGTACTCAATTTTGTCAAATAGCCTATCAACATCTGTCAGGACTGCACTGCACGAGAGCTGGTGTTCTGCATTGTCTGTCTCTGTGGCCTCAGCATGTTGCATAGCTTGCATCTTGCATTCTTATTGGCACCCAACATTATTCAGAGGAATGAATGATTTCGTATTTCATGCACTGACCTACTGATGCAGGATTAGTCACCTCGCCGTCTCTGTGTTGTGCGGCCTAGAACAGAGGCAGCAACTTCTCCCAGGCTCCAGTGCCTCGCTCAGACACTAAGGTGTGGGCTTTTCTTTTCTGTTTTGGACAGTGCAGCCAACCGGCGCTCGCCTGTAGCAGGAGTGCCTAGCCTCTGTTGGAAGCCGGGCCGGGAGACTACAGAACCCCGTGCGCCAAACAGCAGAGTGAGAACTTACTCTGTATCCCCGCGACTTCCAGCTCGACACTATCGCCTCTCCCACCAACCTGCACTCCGAGTGCACGAAAGACACTGAAGCTCCTTGAGCCTCAGTTTACCTAGCTTTGGAATCACGGCTAAGACTAGAGATTTCTAAGATCTCTTTCAACTCCAAATTCCATGACACTGTATAAATTTGAGTCCTGTTGAGGGGATTTTCATCCCTGAGGATTTTTTTCATATTTCCCTTTAGAGACCAATGGTTAATTTAGATGGAGCCAGAGTTGAAAAGTGCAGAAAGATGCCAGCTTATCTCAAAAGTTGACCTGGAGCATCCTCCTGCGTGAGTGTGTCTGGCTCTTCCCCACGACCCCTCAGCACCCCTTCACTCTTCTCCTGCCCTTCTAGCCTAGACTACGCGCTACCCCAGCTAGGCCTCGTTCTCACTCTCATAATTTCCCTGAAGAGGGTTTGCTGATAATTGCTTAGGATATCAGATTTCCTAGTTATTTTCTATTTTAAATAGGAGGCCAAAATGAAAAAGTAATTCAAGACCCAAAGGACTGAATGAAAGGACTAACAGTGAAAAATTCTCGGCACAGTGACAGCCACTGGGTATCTCCCATTGTGTTGGCCGTGAGTGACTCTACCTACACTCTAGTAATACAAATTCTGGATGGCATTTGCCTCCCTAAATGTGAGCCTACTGTCTGGACAAAATATGGAGGATCAAAAGACTGTGGCCCACATGCACAGAATTTTCTATAGGTTTCTGCTGCCTAATGCAACCCAAGAGTCTCCAGGACTCGCCAGCTCATCAAAACAAATGGGTTTCAGCATCCAATTACATGAACGAGAACAAAGCAAAACGCCAAGGGAAAATGCGGAAGCAAGCTCAGAATTACCGTCCCTGCCCACGCACTTCGGCCATAGGACACATATTCGTCTGAATCTGGCCACACCTACTCACCAAGACTCTGCAAACCTCTCCCGCCCAAGCGCTTGTGGGAGTTCCCACATGGTGACCCGCGTGCTCGTGAGAATCCTGTCCCACTGCCTCTCCCCTTCACTGCTCCACCTCTTCTCTTGGACCAAAGCTTCAAGTTTCTGACCAGGGACAATCAATGTCTCCATCTCCCACCAACCGTCCCCCTCTTCCACAGCTTGCCGTGCGAGGCCTTAAGACGTCAAAGTTACAGAGTGTTTTGGAAAGTGGAAGGAGATGGGAAGAGACCATCCTCCTCTTGCTAGACGCGGTTGGATTTTCCAAAGCAGTGGTGGTTGTGGTCCAGCGTTTCACGGCGTTTCAGGCAAACTGCTCTTTCTGTTTTTACTTAAAGAACCTTTCCCTCCTCCTGCTTCCTCCACAGCACTCGGGATGAAAAACAAACCCAGCGACAGGCTCTGAGCAGGACTCAGAACTCGCCTCTCCTCCAGTGGCCAGGCATTCCTGACAAACTCATCACGCTGGCTTTCTCCTGCCTTAGGGTCACTTCTCTCATTCCCCATGTGTGTCCACCCCGGTTCATCAGCCATGCTCCAATTCCAGCGTAGGCTCAAAAGGGACCTCAACTGCAATACAGAAAACCAAGGCAGTGGGATGGATTGCAAACTTCCAGAGAGGTAGAGATGGGGAGGCTCTAGCTCCGTAGGTGCAGGGATTTTCATCTGTTTTGTTCTTTGCTAAAGCGCCAGCACCTAAAACACTGCCCTTAATAACCCTGTGCAGCTGTGCGAATGAATTTTGGTTCCATATGGCAGGCAATTCTCAGGGACAAAAGCCTACTTCCTAGCTCCCCATCGCAAACACAGCTTAGGCGGGATGAACGGGGCAGAGAACACACTCACGGGCCTGCCTGCACGGTGGCTTCCCAGCCCTCTCTAAGTGCGCCTTGCTGGGGGCTTTGCTCATCTCAGACAGCGGGCAGAGTGAGGCTGGCTCCCTCCCCGCCCACGCCGCCGCTGCTGCCACCTGCTGAAGCTCATGCAGCCTCTCTCAGAGCAGCCACTCCTAAGCTTTTGCATCACACACATTTTGAGAAGCCAATGAAAATCACAGCTCTTTCCCAGAAAAAAAAAAAATATATATATATATATATAGTACAGATACACAAACATACATTTTGTATAGTATTTCCAAAGCCTGAAGAGGCCCCTGGAGCTCCACCATGTAACACAAATGGTAGAATTTGAAGCAAACCAATCTAAAATCCAAGGAGTTCTTTTCTTTCTTGTTAAAGAAATGTTTGAACGTGCACCGAAACAGAGAGAAACGTGTAAGAAACCACTGTGGACTGAGCAGCTGTCAATATTCTACCAATTCTCGTTTCCTCCGTTCCCCCCTCCCAAGTTTAAAAGTTTTTGCTTTTGCTAGAATATTTTAGAACAAATTTGAGATATCTCTTAATTTTATCTGTAAATACTACAATATATATCCAAGCAACCAGGACTTTTCTCTCTCTTTTTTTTTTAACGTAACCATTAAACCATTATGACACCAACAAAATTAACAAGACTTCCTTCATATCGTGGGGTACCCAGACTGTTCTAAATTTCCTCTGATTGTCTCGGAAATAACCTATTGACAGTGGCCAGCTTGAATCTGAATCCAAACAAAGGCCAGCCATTGGATTAGGATTTTGTATCCGTTAAGGTAAGAATTCTCTTTCACTGTGTGAGCAGAAGCCGTATCAGCTGGTTACGTGATGGCAGCAGGGGAGGGCGAGGGGCAAGCATGTTGGGGGGCAGGAGATGAGTCAATGACAAGTGCTGTCAAATTCTAAAAATGGGGACGTTTTAGAGTTCCTACTTGATCCCTTCAAATCATCAGAATAAAATTAGACAAGGGCCCAGTTTTCTCTTGACCTCAGTGGCCAGCTGAAACCATGAGCTCAGCAGGTTGATTTCACATTTCTTATCTGAATCGATAGTGGAGAAGTTGTGTGTAGACTCCCGAGGGCTCGCATTTGCTTTCACTCCTTCTCCTCCTCGAGTAGGTTAAGAATTATTGGCCATGTTATCAGAAAATCCAAAGTCCTCAAAGGTACCCTGCCTGCTGGGTGAGGATCATGTGGGCTCTCTTAGGCACCCACTCACTTTTTGATATACTAACCCCCAAATCTAACGGGTTTACCTGCTGCCTTTCTTGTGCATCCAGCGTTGACGACCATCATCTGCTTTTTTCTCCACCAAAACCACCTCCGTGCCCGAATGCAGGTCGGGACCTGGCACCCCCAGTGCTAGCTGAGGAACGGCATGGCTTATAATTTGCGCATCTCTGTATTCAAACTGCTGGTGGCAAAGCTTCTGCCATTTACTCTGCCTTGGAGAACGGCTGAAATAAAGAGAATCTCATTAGTGGCAGAAAAGTACCCTGTGCACCAACGTGCTGGAGACTGCAAGTTCTGCTGGTGAGAGACCCGCTGTGAACCAAATGCACCTGTCACGGGGAGGCACGATCATCGGGACACCAGCAATGCTGTTTGCTTTGCACTGCCAGGCGGAAGTGAAAAATAGGAGTCTGAGTTTATTTTGTAACAGAAGTAAAGGTTCATTCAAGAGAATATGAGAAATTCATCAGCAAAGAAAAAAGAAGTTCAGTTGAAGAGAGAATTTAGTTAAAGAAGAAAAAGAGGGAGAAGAAGGGGGGCATTCAGAATCAAACAGAGAACGAAGGGCCCCATTCAGACCATGGCTCTCTATCCTCCATCCACAGGACCTCTGGAAAATAGAATTTCATTCTCCAAGGTTTCAATCTTCCCAAACAATTCATAGAATATCATAAAAGAAAATAACAAAATGCTAGTGAGTTAATTAAAGGGATCTGTTACTTAACGGATCTTAAAGCATTAAGCCGACTTATTAAACATATTAACCATCACGATGCATTGGCAATTAAACTAATTTATAAACATCTAAGTCCCTACTATAAGTGCGGACTAATGCCAAATGTTCATATGACAAAATTGTTTAATTCATATGAGCTGCTGTAATGTTAAGCAAATGTCTAAAGACGGAATAATACAAAGTATTATAGACTCCTGTCGTTTCATTGGACATTAATCAGAAATAAATAAAATTAAAAAGGAAGAAATTGCGTTTTACTAATTTCTTAAAGAAGTCAGGCCATCTCGTGTGCTCATCCACAGATTCATTTACACACTCATTCAGCAGATAGACAGGCTCGGCCGGTGCTCAGGAGGCAAACGGGTGAGCTCGCTGTCTGCACAGAGAAGACGCCAGCGAGCAGGACTCATGGCCACAACTGAAGCGATGAGGACCATCCCACAGCATGTTCAGCACTTCCGTCAAAACACAAGCGAAAACGTGTGTGCTGATGCAAACTGAGCTGACAGGAACGCAGACCCTCGGGAATACTTTTGCCCCAAAGTGAGCAAATCTAAGGAATCCCTTCTTACCTGTCCTCCTCCTGTGGGTGCGCATCGTCAAAGAGCTCTTCCACTTTCTCCGGAGGCCCGCCATGCTGCTGCAGGTCCCCAGAGGTGTCCTGCCAGGCGTACCTGACGACAGGACCCCGAGCCTTCCCTCGGAGATGGGCCCTCGCGTGCGCATCCCTATCAAGGGCCAGAAACAAACACAAGTCTAAGAGTTCCCACTTACCCCCAGAGAATGTCTCTGCGTGTAGCTGATCCTGTCCTGAAGGAGACGGGGGGTCTGTAAATCATATTTCCATAACGGCGCTCAACACTGCAAATCCACATCCCACTAACTCATAATTTAGGTCTTTTAATACGAGGCTACACATAAAAGTCCTCGATCCCATAATAAACAGCATTCTTTTTTGTTTATTGAGAAAAAATGAGGTCATATATTATATGTGAAAAATTATAAGATTAAGACTGCCTAGTAGTTTAACAAATTTGTAACAAACATGTAATGAGAGTCCTTCTGCTCACCCCAGAAGTGGGTCATAACTCTGTCTGGAACAGTCCAGCCTAGATTACTGGGTTTCATGAAGTTTACTCACTAGACAATGTTAAAGGAATCTTCATTAACTTAATTTTTCCTCTCAATAGAGAAATCTAGGGAGACTCAAAGAGCACTGGAACAGACATGCCAGCTTTTGAAAGAGAATAACGCACCGAAACACTGAGTAAATCGTCCTAGTCTGAATGACTGAGCCAGCCTCTTGCTTCCTACTGAGACGACGCTGTGCGCGGGAGCGTGGCCGCCATACAGATCTGTACATATCACGCTCCAGGCTCGCTTGCCTTCCGTGGGATCCTGACACAACGGGAGAACTCCTGGGCTGACGGCGGGATAAATGCACGGGCAGAGCAGCCAGCCTATTTCTGTGCTCCAAATATGCGAATGTGTAAATAAAGCCTCTGGGGCCGCGATGGGCAAGGCGCGTGTGGTCACTTGATGTAACCACAAGCGACAACATATTCCAAACTCAGGGACAATTGCTGTGTTAGCAGAGCAGACCACACACTTGTCAAACGTAACAAAAGTATTTCGTGTGGATCTCAAACTCGTGGGTAACCAGGACTGCAGCAGAAGCAGCTTCTCAAGTCAAAAATCTAGTAACAGTTAAAAAACAACAGCGCCATCTTGTGTTGAAAATAAAAAACATAGCTTTCCCACCAACTCCATTTCCTCGAGGAAAAGGGGAAAAAAGTCGTTCTTAGTTTTACCATATTTAGCAGGGTGTAAACAATATTCTTCCCCCATTTCCAGATGCTTCATTTTCTAACTTGGAATTTATCTATATGCTCTTGGGCTTCCAGTGAAATGAAATACATCAAGTCAATCTCAGAACAGCCATTTTTAAGTCCATCTTACTTTATTAATTCATTCGTTTGTCCATTCGTTCACTCTTAAAACTTAAAATCATCCTTAGTTAGTCATTCATTTCTTTAACTAATATTTGCTGCACGTCCATTGTATGAGAGGCGCAGAGTTCTATGTGTCAGGGATACAGGGACAAACAAAACAAACAGGTTCTCAGGGTCGATGGAGCTTACGTTCTAGTGGGAAGAAGAGGGAACAGACAAGCAAATGAATAAACAAACAAGTTAAGTGCCATAAGTGGAACAAAACAGGATACTGTGATAGAAATTGGCGGGGGTGGGTGGGGTCTTCTTTAGCAGTGGGGTCAGAGAAGGCTCCTCCGAGAGGTGGCGTGTGAGTTGAGCCCTGGACGTGGGAAGGAGCCTGCCATGCGAGGATCTGGAGGGAGAGCATTCAGACAGACAAAAGAGCAGCTACAGAACTCTGAAGCAAGAGGGTGTTGGCTCATTTGAGGAACAGAAGGACCCCGGTGTGACAGGCATGCCATGAACAAGGGGAGGGGGCCGGAGACAGGCTGGTGAGAGGCAGGGCATGCCCAGCGTGCGGGACAAGAGGAGACAGCCCCCCGGGCACCATGCCCGGAGAGGCTTTTCTTCCATCAAGCATCACAGCGGGGTCAGCTGCCCCAGAGTTTCTTTTCCATTGTGCTTCTTATTGTTTTTACTAGAAATCTGCACATAGAACCCAGCCATCTAAAGGGTTCCTTCCAGATCCATGTTCTGGCCTCTTGCTCTATGGCTGTCTTGTCTTAAATCATCCCACTTCTCGATGAATATGTGCAAACCTCCTGACAAACCTACCTAAGGAAGTCCAGAGGGATCTTGCAGTGACTTTCTGATGGGAGACACTTTGTGATGAAGTCATCACAAGTGGTCAAAGAACCAGGGACAGCTAGTCTGGAAAAGAGACAGCCCAGTGGGCTGATGACAGTGAGCTTCGAGTGTTTTAGGGACTCATTAGTGGAGGAGGAATAGGACACAGTTCAAAGAAACAGATGAAATTATAGGAGGGAGATGTTCTAAATAATTATTCAACATTAGAATGGGCTGCCTTGTGAAATAGTGACCTCCCTGTCACTAGGAGTATTCAAGAAGAGATTGGATCGAAAGGGCCTGCCTGGACTGTGCAGGAGATTCTCGCATTATCCTCTGAGTGGACTCAACCACTTTTACCTCAAGGTCTCCAGGTCTTGAGGAAATCTATGAATCAGAACAATGCGGATCTTTGCTCTCAAAGATGTTCTTTCTTTTTTCTTACTTTGTGCTTAGTCTTTGTCTTAAGTGCAGCCTAGTAACTGAGAGACTGGATGATATATTCCCTCAGAAGAAGAACGAAAGGGGGTATTGGGGAAGTCTGTGGCCAATTCTCTAACCATTGCAGAAGGCACCCAGAGGTCCAGACACTCTCTCTGGAGGAGACCTCTGGTGCCTTTCTGAGTGTCAGGGCAAGGACATCACTCATCAAAATGAGGATGTTTGGTTCCTAAAATAAAAGTTGATGTTCTTAGAATTGAGAATAGAAACAGTCTTTTAAAACAGTTTGTAACAATGATATAGAAATTAATTTTCACAGTTATTGCAATGGTAATTGACCAGCTGTTTTTGGTTTTATAATTCATTGAACCATTCCTTCATTTATTCAGTAAATAACCACTAACGTCAGTCTCCCTGCTCGTCACAGAACACACGTGACAGGGTTTTTGCCCTCGAGGAATTCCCAGGTTGGTGGTCGCTGGGGTGGGGGAACGTTGCTCTGTGGAATCACCGCCTTCGTTGATCCCAGAGATGGAGAGTCACCCCACAGACAAGGACGGCAAGGCAGACGCTCAGGCGGGCAGACGTGAAGGTGAGGCTCAGCGCCTCGACAGCCCCTCCATCGAGGCGGCTTGCAGGCGCCGAGATGGAGCTTGGAGTCCACATGGCAGGATGAGAAAGTGTGGGGCGGAGGGGGGTATGGGGCACCCATGAGGGTCAACAGTGGCCTGGACCGGGCTCAGAAGGGCTTGCATTCCAGACTAGACATTTCTTCTGCAACAGGAAGCCACTGAAGAACTGCACGAACACGACCGTGTTTCAGAAAGATGTGTCACGACCGTGTTTCAGAAAGATGTGTCACGACCGTGTTTCAGAAAGATGTGTCACGACCGTGTTTCAGAAAGATGTGTCACGACCGTGTTTCAGAAAGATGTGTCACGACCGTGTTTCAGAAAGATGTGTCACGACCGTGTTTCAGAAAGATGTGTCACGACCGTGTTTCAGAAAGATGTGTCACGACCGTGTTTCAGAAAGATGTGTCCACAGAGCGAACTTCGCGGGGAATGGAGGAGATTATGGAGACAGGGACCAATCAGAAAGCCACGTCAGAGATCAGGGTGATGACCACATACTAACACGCATCCAGCTCGAACCTGCCTTAGGGAAGAGGCTTAATGGTTCCTGAAGTCCACGTTTATGGAAACAAAACATGATGAATTCTTCATACGAATGTCTGCATTTCTAAGATCCCAGCCTTTTAAAAATAGCAACATTGTAACAAAATTACTGAAAGTAGATCATTGTGATGGTTGAACACTGCAGCTCCAGCTCTATTCTTTTGCCAAGAAACTAATTAAATCCTAGCTCTTCACTTGACATGGTTTCACGTGCTCGGCGCAGGTTCCCTGCCTGTGCTCCGTGCTGTTGTCGAGATAATGAGCTGAGTTCAAACGGCAACCAGGTAGCTTTGCTGGCCCCACTGATTACTTACAAAATTTCACTGGAAGCATTTTCTGTTGTTAAAGCATTTTTTTGCATTTGCTTTTCCTCTGGTTCTATAATTTGCTTCTCTTCTCCAAAAATTTCCACAGGTTTACGCACAGCAAGCTTGGCTCCGGACACAATGTCACTTTGGACTTCTAAAACAAGAGCTGAGCAGAAATGCAAACATTTTTGCAAGGACATATTAGTTACGATTGCAGAGAACTAGGAATTTGAAAACACGTGCTAAAATAAAAACGCAAAAGACTTCGAGCTATTTGATACAATAGAACAAATTCTAGGAGGAATTGATAGTTTCTCTTTAAACTAATAAGTTCTGTCTCAAGTAATTCAATTTTTGTAGATTCTTTCCTCTCAAGATTTTCTTAGTCAAAAGTACTGAAAATAGATCTGTCCAAAAACACATAAGTCATTGTAAATTCTAACTATTTAAGTGGGCCACATTATTTGGATATGGGTCTCTAGATCCTTCTCTGGGGTCCCAAATTCTTCAGTGAAAGTCCCCAATGCCTCAGAGACAGGTGCAAAGCTTACCATACAGTGTTCAATATACGCAACAGGGTAAGGATTAAATTATATTAGTGATTTTTCTCTTTTGCCTTTTTGTGTCCTGGTTCCTGGGGCAGCCTCGAGGGAAGGAGGAAGACCACAAGGAGATGAGAAATGTTACAAAGGAAAAGCAGAAGCACAAAAATAGTTCTGACATTCAAGTCCAGCATATTCCCTAAGACAACAGCCATGGCCACGTAAATCAGGATGACACTGTCACGATTTGGGATTTTTCCAAATCCTTTAGTTTCCATGTAGCATAGTAAGGCTTCAACCTCAGGGTTGACCTGGAGAAAGCCCACCATTTCTGGGCCTGAGGGGATTTGAGGCAGAAGACAGAGGAAGGCAGAAAACCAGCACTGGGCATGGTGATTCCACTCAGGCTTCACTGAGGGCATCTGAGCAGCACCAGCAGCAAAAGGCTGGGGCACTGCCCATCGCTCAGGACACTGTGACAAGTCACCCCCGAGCTGCCCTCGCCCCTCCAGTCTGAGGCCCAGCCATGTGCACCTGGAGCTGGTTTCTCGGGGGTGCCCACCACCCAGGATTGGCTGAGAGCCATGCTGGGGAGCTCTCCCGAAGGGCTGCCGAGCAGGGGTCAAGGGTGTGTAGGAAGGACTGGCAGAGGTGGCTGCCCAGCCACAACCAGGCTGCAGAGGGCCAGAGGAGGCAAGGGGACACTGTGGCAGGCAGGAAGCACACCCACCCAAAGCATGGTCTGGACCAAAAGAATGGAACACCACCACCCAGCCGTGGACCTCGGCCAGCAGGGCCTAGAAAGCAAGAGGGTCTGCACCCCGAGTTCTTTCCTTCCATCCTAGAGAGGGACCGGAGCAGGACTCTGGACAGTGGGAGACCCGCAAGGCCTGCTAAAGGACCAGTTAAATTAACAGGTGGGACAGAACCTGAACCTGACTGGACGTTCAATGTTCTCCTTGATGGGGGTACGTGGGGCTCACAAGGAAGGCCCGATTTGTTAAAGACAAAACAAAGAAAGTGTGTTTTCTTAGCACATCCGCAGTGTAGTGTGAATTAAAATGCACAAGTCTGTTAAAGATAAACATTAAGTCCAAGGACCTAATCAGCAAGATGCAGGGGTGAAATATGACCTGTTTAAACAAATTTGGATTTTTTAAAAAGCAGTATCACCAGGTATTTTATTTTGGCTGCATTTATTAAGGAAAGTAATGCCAGTGCTTACTCTCTGTCTTACGTGTACTGCAGAAGATTTGCATTTTAGAAACATCGGACGTCAAGTTCCTCAGGAGGATTTGCCTCTTTTGCTGGGCAGTGGACAGGTCGGGATTGATCCAGTCTTCTCCACGTGAGACATACACCTGCCAAAGACACGAGTATCTGCTCCCGCACAACTGTTCCCAGCAGCATTACCTACAACAGCCCGAACTGGAAACGATGAAGTGTCTCACAGCAGGTGAAGGGTTAAACAAACCGTGGCGCGTGGAATAACCCTCATGATAAAAAGGCACAGACTACTGATAAATGCGACAACCTTGACGGACCTCGAGGGTTTGGTGCTGAACAAAGTACTTGTCCATACTGTCTTTGCAACTTACTGCGAAAATTTCAAAATAAAAATGTATATTTGAAACATAATTATTTCAAAATAAAAAGTTAAAAAAAATTTGTGTACAGGAAGGAGAAGAAGGAAAGAAGGAAGGAAAGGAGGAGGGTGGGTTGGGAGGTATAAGTCAGGGGGTGCAAACTATGCCGGAGGCCCAAGGCCGGGCTGCTGCCTGTCCTTGTGGATAAAGTGTAACTGCACAGAGCTCTGCCCACTCACTCACGCGTGGTCTGTCACTGCTTTTGTGCTGCAATGGCAGAGCCGATGCTTCAGCAGAGACCGTGCACTCTGCAAACACTGACTACCTGACCCTTTACAGAAACAGTTTGACAACCGCTCGTGTGAACGAATTTCAGCATCGGCACCGAAATGTTGATGTGGATGTTTCTAGATGCTGAGATTATGCAGGACACTTTTTCATCTTCATTTTGCTTAAATGTATTTCTTAAATGTCTTTAAATGAATATATATTTCGTTGAAGTAAGAAAAAATAGAGGGGGATACTGAGGAAGAGTCAGTAAGAAGAAAAAGAAACAGTGCTGCCTTCTGCAGGCCACTCACTGATTAGCACACATTTTCCTACAAGAAAACGTTCTCAAAATTTCTTCTTTAAAACAACAGGTTTCGGGGCCGGCCCGGTGGCGCAGTGGTTAAGTGCACACGTTCGGCTTCGGCGGCCCGGATCCCAGGTGCAGACATGGCACCACTTGTCAAGCCATGCTGTGGCAGGCGTCCCACATATAACACAGAGGATGATGGGCACAGATGTCAGCTGAGGGCCAGTCTTCCTCAGCAAAAAGAGGAGGATTGGCAGCAGATGTCAGCTCAGGGCTAACCTTCCTCAAAAAAAAAAAAAAAAGATTTAAAAAAAAAAACAATAGGTTTCTTTCCTCCTATGAACACACTTAACCATCTGACTGTTCCTGCTCCAGCCTTCACGTCGGCTGCTCACAGTGACAGGTTCATTTCTAGTAAATACGCAGGATCCTGTGACAACCACTCCTGGCTCCACCCTCCCTCCTCTTGCCCTGGTGGCCTCACCTACTTACCTTTAAATTAAATTTATCTTCTGTATCACATGTTTTAATGCAATCTGCCTTAAATTCCTTCTAAAATAACTCAGTGAATAAGCACAGCGGGGAAAACAAAAATATTGAAAGCAAACAAAGACTTAGCATTCAAACCAGATCCACCAGATTCCAAGAGCTAAGAGTCTCCCTCTGCCCCTCTGCCTTGGATCCTGTCCTGGGGACCCCTGCTGTCTCGCACCCTGTCCTGGGGACCCCCTGCTGCCTCTGACCCTGTCCTGGGGACACCCTGCTGCCTCTGACCCTGTCCTGGGGACACCCCGCTGCCTCTGACCCTGTCCTGGGGAACCCCCGCTGCCTCGGACCCTGTCCTGGGGACCCCCCCTGCTACCTCAGATCCTGTTCCAGGGCCCTCAGTGAAGACTCTCTCAAGGGGTCTTCACACCTGGAGCCTGAGTCAGTCTGGGTAACCCATGAGGCTCGGTTGTCTGCTCGGAGAAGCTCAGGCATCAATCAAGGCAGGCTTTCTTCTCAAGCCAACGCCTCAAATCCCATAATGGGAGCCAAGGCGGGGCTGCTGAAGCCCTCCACGTCTCAGCCTTCTCCAGCCACCCACACAGAGTGTGTGAAAAACTAGATCTGATTTTTTTCCCCAGAGGTGAAGCCATCATTAGGAAATCACTAAACAGCCACATTTTGCAGGCCTCAAGGAAGGAAGAGGCGCTACCTCCCTGACAGTGGGCAGCAATCGCAGGTGCTTCATAGTTCGGTCTTCCCCGGGTCCTGCCCTCATTTCTAAGGTGAGGATAAGGAGAGCAAGCGTCCCACCGGGTGGTGAGGAGCGTCAGGGGAGGTAATTCACATCCGCCCCTGAAAATCGCGCCTCGCCCCCAGTGAGCTCTCCACACCCTGCTCTGTGCACCACTCTCTCACGGCTGCTGAGTGGGGATGATTCTGAGAGAAGATAAGAGGAAAGATGGCAAGCAGATCTTATATTTTAAAACACTTTTCTTTTGTTAGTATTCATGTACTGATACTTCCGGTTCACAGCCTGTCTTTACCAGCTCGTCTCTCTGAAGGTCTTTTAGGGCCAAGACTTCCTGCCCTTCTTCGTTGAACAATCTCCGAGCCGCAGACGGTAAATGTAAGGTCTCGGTGCACCTGCAATGAGACGGAGTATCAGCTGTGCACAGAGAGCTCCCAGCAGAGCAGGGAGAACAGAGACGGCAGGGCCCGACCAGTAACGACCAGCCCCCTGCGGGACTGTGAGGAGTCCAGGGCCAGCCCGGGAGCCCGTCAGACCCCTGTTAGTCTCGCTGTCCCTGTGCAAGCTGTGGGACTTGGGCAAATAGCGAAACTCTCTGAGCCTAAACGACTTACTTCCCAGAGTTGTTGTGACAATTGTGGGTCGACTTTGAGAAACACCCAGCCGGGCGCCAGGCGCGATGGGGACAGGCAGACGCACCATAGCGCTGCTCTCCCCTCACTGCGCCCCCACTCCCCATCTGTGGGCCTTGGCTCCTCTCTTCCTGTTGCATGAACCACCTTCCCCAGCTTCTTCTGTGGAAGTTCTACTCTCTCTCCAAAGTCACATCCGTCACCAAGCAGCTCCTCACCTCCTTTCTCCAGAAGGGATCTTTATAGCCCTTTAAGTCCCTTTGAAAGAGGAATTTTTGCCCCGTTAGACATTAAACAGTGATCCTTTTTTCCCCAAATGAGCAGTGGGCCAGCCCTTTGGATATGAAGATGAATGATGCCATCCCCCTGTCCCCTGAGGAGCTCCCTCTCCAGTCGGGGGGAGAGGCAGGGCTGCGACTGGAGTGTCACATGAAGTAGTGGGAGCTGTGAGAGGCACCCGGCCAGGGTCCTGTGAGAACACAGAGGAAAAATAATGACTTCCTCCAGAGAAGACTTATCTAAGGAAGTCACATCTCCACTGGGCCTTGATGGATGAATAGGAGTTCACCAAGAAGAGTTAGGACCTAGAGAAGTTTTGGGTGGCTGGAGCTGAGTGTATGGACAGGAGGAGGAGCCAAATGAAGCTGGAAAAGAAGCCAGGAGCCAACTGAAGGCACTTAGGATGTTAGACTAAAAAACTTGTCCTCCATCCCATAAGCAGCAGGAGTCATTGAAGGCATTAGAGCACAGGTGTGGTGTTACAAGATCTGCCTTTTAGAAAGTCAGCTGTCAGAAAAGTGGGAGAGGACTGAAGGCGGGAGAGGCTGGCATCTATCTAGCCAGTTAGGGTAGAGATGAAGAGGTGGAATTGTGGAGAAAGGAAGCAGAGCTAGGGGAGGTGACGGAGCGTTTCCTGAAGAACGCTGTTGAGATGACCCTGCCATTGGAAGAAGACGAGCGCAAGATGCCTGCTCGGTACACTTTACATGAGAATCTCCTGTCTGTGGAAAATGAATCAGAAGTGACTGTGCTCGTCACGCAGACTCAGCTGCTGAAGAAGATCTCTCTGCTTTACTTTTTTAGATGAGATAAAGCAACTGAGCAGCTAATTCCTCCCTCCGTCTCTCCGAGGGGTCTTAGGAGGAAATAAGCCAGCGGGAACTAAATCTCCGCTTCTCGTGCCACGGCTCGGGCAGCTCACAGGCCAGTGAGGCCTGGGCAGTGCTTCTCATCCTCAGGAGTTCGTGGGATGGGGTGGGAGGGAGCTGCCAGAGGACTGAGCCCCAGTCACAAGACCCGCCTGATTCTCCTTGGGTGCTGCCCAAGACCTCACCCAATTCCTTCTACTTTCCGCAAATCAATACCTTTACAGTCCAAGCAGTTGCAGCAGGACCTAAAAGGAGTCACCGTCATCGTATCCGCCCCCACGCGGATTTTCCTGGGAGTGTCCGGCCCACGGGAGTGTCCAGTTTTAGGACAACATGCGGGAGCACAGAAGGAGTGGATGGTTGGTGAACGTTTCTTCCTTCCTTTTTAGAAACTCTAGTTTTAATAGGGCTGAATTCGACTGGGCCATGCAGGCGGGCTGGAGAGGATGGGGGTAAGCCATTTCCTCTGCATTAATTCCTCTAACTAGCTCATGTGCCGGCCCACGTAAATGTGGAGAGGAGAGAAAGAACCGGCTCTGAGGTCCTAATAAGGCGTGTGGAGCCTGAGTGGGATTGCCTGGGTTCACACGCCCCCCTCTCGTGGACTGGCTGCATGACCTTGGAGAAGGTACTTAACTTCTCTGAGCCTCATCTGCCCCGTCGGTAAAAGACGGACACAGCGGTGCTTATCTTACAGGCTATCTGACAAATTAAACATGTGCACACCTGCGGAGCGCCTGGCGCAGAGTCAGCCACACATTACTGAAACGGGCCCTGCACTGCAAGCACTTCGGGTCTACCCCTCATCCAATTCTCATGCCATTTCGGAGAGGCCCGTTGTGCTGAGGAGGAAGCTGAGCCTGGAGGTTAAGTTCCTTGCCCAGGTCACGTGACTAGTAAGCAGCAGAGCTGAAAGTCAAAGCGGAACCTCTCTGGATCTTTTGCTCCACCACACAGCCTCCTGAGAGGCATCATCAGAGTCACGAGATCCTAGATCCACAAAGGGAGGAGCCAGAGGTGGAGGTGCTGAGAGGCCAGTTCAGGGTTTCTCCGTTACGTGGAGCCAAAGGGCCTCGAAATAAAGTCCCGTGACTCATGCCAGGAGTCGGGAAGGGTACCACGGGGCCTGCGTGGATTTACAGAGTCCAGAAGAGCAGGGTGGTATCTCTGACATTGCTTTCTCAGGACAGCAGTGACGGAGGAGCACCAGGTGGAGCTGGCTCCCGGAGGGCTGCACGTCCGCAAGACCCAGGATGCGCTGAGAGGGGGCAGGAGCTGTCTCCTGGCCGGCAGACGCCTACAGCTCTGCTGTCCTGGAGCCTTCCCTCTCCACTCGCTCACCAGGTCGTCCCTCCCAGGAGCCCCACCACATTCTTCCAGTTATTTCAAAACAGTAACAAAACCTGCAAGAAGCTATGGGTACCTGCTGGCTTGTCTTTGTATCTACCTTCTTCTTCTTTATATCTCTTTATTTTTGCATCTCTCTCATTTTCTCTCCTCTGCATGTGGCCTTGCCTGACAGCTGCCCCTCACAAGGTTCTCTCTCCTCGCTGGTTATTTATAAAATGATCCCTTGATCATTTTCACTTATGTACAATCAAGTACTGCCCCGTGTGGCTGTCTGACTGCTTCAGTAAGCAAACTGTCTTCCCAACCAGCTAGCAGTTTCCCAACAGCAAGGACTGTCTCGTCTTTTTTAAAAAAATCTCCTGCAGAACATCCAACACTGGTTGATGCTCATGATATGAACACAACAGACACTGAAAAGAATCGAATTCCTACTTGCCTTCCTCTTAGCTCTCCATGCAACTCTCCTGTTTCACAAGGAGGAAAACGAGACTCAGAGAAGGGCAGCGCTTTGCCAAGTTTTCCAGCTCGTTAATGGCAAACCTGAGCTTAAATCAAATCCAGTGGTCTTTCCGCTCCACGCTGCCTGCAACTTTGGGTATCAACAGAAGCATTCTATACCTGATATTTTTAAACGGGGCTTACTTTGCTGTTAGATCTGCCTTTGGCTTTGTAGATGGAAGGATCAACATCAATAAAAAAATGACCCTCAAAACTATTTGGTATGAATTATCAAATAACTAGAGGATAGCATAATTTCCCTTAAATTCTGTAAGACTGCCCCCTCATATTCAACAAGACATATTTTGCAAAAATATTTATACTAGGTGCACTGGCTTTGAACAGTTATCAAATTCTATGGAAATAATTTTTGTTTGGGTAGGAAAATACTGATCAAAAGAAAATTTATGACATATTTCACAAATAAGATAGAGGTCAGTGACATTTAAAAATTGGTTTAAAGTAGATAACTATCCTGCCCTCAATTCAAAGAAATATAAACCAAAGAAAACTATTGAAAAATTGTGAAATATGTTTTTAAAAATGGCAATAATTTGTATTTACACAGTTGGTAGTTCAGAAGCTAGGGGAAATTGCCTTGAAATTTGGGGGGAAAATGTATTAATTAGCATTGGTTTCATGGACTCACACAGTTGACATATTTCACAGATTAAAAACTCAAGAATCATTACATAGCAACTGTTTTCTTATGTAGGTAAATATATATTTTGTGTTGTGCATAATACACATCATTCGGCCACATGAATGGAAAATGCCTCTGCATTAGGATAGTAGGTACTTACCTCTCCAAAAATTGGTGAAATTCAGTCTGGTGTGTTTCTGTTTCAGAATATTTAGTGACATAGCTTTTCACATTCTCCTTCCTTTCGACGTCAACCTTTCTGAAACAAATGATCCAAGATTTGATTGACATGTCAGTATACATTGTCAATTATCTTTCAACTTCTTTAAATGTGTGAAAAAATTATGAGGTTTTAATGTATCATGATTTGCCCTAAAATAATCTGCCTTTCTTTAAAATATAGGCTTTCAAAAACTATCATAAATATTAAACTTCATAAAAATTTATACTATGAGTAATTTACATAAGAAAATAAATTTTCAATATTTTAATCCTCTTCTATGAATGCTGAGCACTCTGAGAGGTGAACTTATCAACTTTGAAGAAAATGCAGATTACATTCATTTCTCCTGTGAAGTTTTATTCATATATTGTTCATATTCATATGTTTACTCATATATTACTCATATATTGTTTAGGTTGTCAATCAAAACCTAAAAATTTTTAAACTGAGAAATAAACAACGATCATAAAAAAGGATTTTTAACTGGAATATATATCTCTTCAAATTTTCAAGTTAGAAAACTATTCTGTGTATTTGTAGAATCTCTATATTTTATTAAATGAAAGAAATACTATTCAAATATAGTTGTTCATTCATTCATTCAAAATGATCCTCAGGTAGAGTTCATTCATTCATTCAGTCATTCAGTGAACGCTGATTTAGGGCCTGTTGTTGGCCCTAAATCACATGGTGAAAAAGTGACCTAGCACTCGATTAACCAGGACACACTGTCCGCGACACTCCACAGCAGACAGCGCAGATGTGGAGAACAGCACACCACCCCTGCTCTCTGGCTCCTTGATGGAGACAGAAGCAGACAGCCAAAGGCAGAGTGGTGGGCTGTGGTGATGGGAAGCCCACGGCGTTCAGAGCACGTGAGGACACAGAAACCAGAGCCAACTTGGGAGTGGGGAGCTCAGAGTCACAGCTAGAAAAAAAGGCCAAACTCCTCCTTGAAAGACCTTTATCATCGAGGCAGAGAGGAGGTGTTGAGAGTGGAGGGGGTGTAAGAGTGGGAACCGGGCAAGTGTTGGTAAGAGATGGAGCTAGAGAAATGCGCAGGGACAGGTTATCAGGGCCTTAAAGCTATATGAGGAGCTTGAGTGAGTCCAGGCATCTTAGCTCACTAACAACTTACTCGTTGAAATTATCTACAATCTAAAGTTCATTTTAGAGCTTCAAATTGAGCCTTTCCTCTTACAATTCCTTAAAGTATCACTTATAAAATTTTCTTTAACTTATGGTTCTGAGAGGTGAAATTCACCAGTGACACAAGAAACCACAGAGGTCTTAATTTATATGAGTTTGACAACCATTATCAAGACTAATTGACAGGATCTCGTTACCCACTAAGATAATGATCAACTAAGTAATGATCAAATGCTGTTTGATCTTCGCTGGCTTTGTGGATGGAGGAACCAACAACAACAGCGCTCCTCAGAGCTGCCTGGAGTGAATTCTTCACTAACTCAAGGACAGCATGCTACCAGAGCAGGACTTGGTTAAAATGGGTGTGTATTTTATCAGTGTAGCCTGATTTTGCTTGTAAAGACACTAACAGCACAACCGTCTTTCTTCTTACAAATAAGTTTCAGGTTAATGCAGGTACTGCACCCCGTATGCCATTAGCATTTATTTCTTCTGGAAGAGGAACTATTTAACTTGGACATGTTAAAATAGCACAGCCGCGCTTCCACCTTGCAGGACTCTGCGATGCCCTTCCTGTCGACGACAAAGTGAACAGCGCCCTGTGGAGCTGGGCGAAAGCCGCCCCGTGATGTCAGCCAGAACTCCTTCCATTTGAACCTTCTGCTACCACTGCTTACTTATAGCTCAGGGGGAAAATGCTATTGATCCTGTAGAAAACTTTCTGAATCAGCCAAGAAAAATTAAACTACATTTAGTAGAGTTTTAGCATCCAGGGTCTGCCAGTGTATTTTAATTATTTGGGCACAGTTAACCGATGTAGTGAACAAAGTGAGTATCTCATTAACCAGGACACACTACTCCACGAACACAGACAGCGGAGAGTTTCACAGACCGTCTGCTAAAATAGCTGTGCAAATTAACAAAGCTCTCAGATTATGTCTGGATTACCTGATCGAACCATGCATTTAAAAACATTAACGTGAAAAGATAAAATCTGTATATAATTTGGAGCCACAAAGATATAGAACAAGAAAAAATAAATGTAGGAAGGGACAGAAATTATTTGTTAACTTTGGATGTTAAAAAAAAGTCATATTCCACTTTAAGGGCATCACCCTCACATTTTACATGTAGCAAAATGAGCTAATTAGAAAATGTATGCGTCAAAGATTTCAATTTCAGGCTTGACTTTACTTTGAAGATTAACTTTTTACTTTGTCATCTTTACAGGCAGTTCAGTGGACAGCCGATCTGCATGTTACTCATTGCTCAGCGATGTATGAAGTATATTTAATCAATGTGAAGAAAGCGATATTAAACTATTATCAGCAGCCTCAAATATTCTAAACATCTCCAAAGAAAGGTCAAGAGGTCATATCGCTGCTAATAACATGAGAAACAACGTGTTTAACTCACTCTGTGCATCAGAGCTGTGCACTGATCTAGGATTCCTCCTGTCATAAAATGCAACAAAAACACAGCAGGCGATTTTTCTCCAAAGTTGGAGAAATACTGGCTGCTTGGGAAGATTTTATCCCAATCTCATAACATAAGCTAAAGTGCAGACTGATGTTTTTCTAGGATAAGCTTTTAAAGAGTGATTTCAAGCCAAGGAAATAAACTATATAAAGTTATATTTTGAGAACTATATTTATCCATTAAATATGCCAAAGATCTCAATGTAAATAATTGTGTATAATAATGATTTCAATAAGGAATTACAAAATTACATTTAAGAAGCAATTTGTGAGGTCAGCTATATCAAAATGCACTAATAAAACTCAAACAAAATGCTAATTCAAAATAGACACTGATCATAAAACTTTTTTTAATCAGAACTACTCATTTCTAACTCATTATTTTTCCCACGCCTACACTAAATCAGTACAATTCAAATTAAGTTCCTGACATAGAGACTAAATGAAGCTTAGTATCTATTTCATGTCCAAATATTAACATGGGAGCCCTTTTTAAAAAAATAAACACAGAATTCTCCCAGAAAAACATCCGTAATCAAGAAGAGAGAAATCTGTAGAAACTAGAGAGTATGTTTAACGAGAAACATGACCAAGTCGTTCTTACTGCGTTTTCCGCCCAGGCGAGATGTCTGGACCGGTTATACTAAGGGCTCTGCTTTTATTCTTGTCTCCATTCCGCACAACCCGGAGTCTCACAGGGGCGTGCAGCTCCAGGGTCTTACAAACAGGTCTCTTCAGGGGAGGGCTGTTTGCAACAAGAAGTCCTTCTAGTGGCCAATCAAACTCCTTCAGGAAGAAACGGCAAAAAAATTGATCACAAATAAGTAAGACGAGTCATTTCTAGATATAAAAAGTATGTAACACACTGCTTATCCCTTTCACCTTTCATTCATTCATCGAACATGTAATGGGTGCCTAAGATGTTCCAGACAATTCTAATTAATGTTTTATTTGAATAAAGAGGACAGATAGTGATTTTTTAAATGTATGTAGAACTTGTGTTGTTTTACAACATGGAGGATTTATTCCCTTTCAGAGAAACATTACTCTATAAAAATAGAGCTGGATGCACTTGGAATGTTTTTTGCTCATGAGTGAAATATCTTTAATCAACATGAAGAAAAGAACAATGTGTGAAAAGTGGTTTTACAACATGAAATAGCATTCTCTTAAGTTAAACCTCTTTGGCAGAGAAGAATATATTCGGGGAACATTCCGAAAAACCAAGTGAGATGATAAAGCTTAAACAAATTTCCGACGTTTCAGAATTCAGTTACTTTATATCCATTCATTTATTTATTAATTTATGAATTATTCAAATATTTATTAATTGTTTACTATACTCCAGGCACAGTGCTAGACGCTGGAAATAAAACTATGAACAAGACAGGATACTCTTCCTCAAGGAATTTCTAGCGAGTCCTCAGAAACTTACCTGGAAATAAACTGGCAATTACAATAGCATAATAGCGACAGGGTACGCACGAGGTGTGATGGGAGCACAGAAGAAGAGAAACTAACTCAGAAATGCCATGTAACAGACCTGCAGTCGGAGTAGCAACTGACGTAAGGGGAGCGTAACAGGATGGGGCGGAGTATGTATCAGACTTGAGGATTGTCCGAACATGACATCTAGGGGATAAAGGAGGCAAGGATGGCTCCCAGGTTTGTAGCCTGGGCAACTGCGTGGATGGCACCGCCGTTCACAGAAGCAGGCACTTGTGGAAGAAGAGTAAGTGAGGGGAGGGGTGGGCAGAGATGACGCTGTGAGGCAAGATCCGAGTTCTGTCTTTTTTTCTCTATCTGCACAAACACTTGTCCTGGCAGCAATTAATCCCCCATTAATCTGCAATAACCGTCCTGTAAAATATCACAATTCCCTGTAACTGGGGTCTGTTTCTGTGTGTTCTGGTCTCTTCAATTTGTCAATATCTCCGTCCCCGTACAGGACTCCAATGCCTTGTGTATATCTGGTAAGTCTCGGTGTTGGGTAGGGCAAGTTCCTCCACCTTGTTATTCTTCTCTGGAAACTGGCTCTTGTTGGCCTTTTGCTGTGTCATATACATTTAAGGGTCAACTGGGTTGGTATTTTAAAAGTCTGTTTGGGATATAAATACTCTGTAGCAAGTTAAGTAATTTCCTATCAATCCCATTTTGTTAAGATATTTTTTCCTGAATGTGTGTTGAATCATGTATAGCTCTTTTTCCTGCATTTGTTGAGATGTGCTCATATGATTATTTATCATTTCATCAGCTATATGTTAATTACATTAATTGATTTTTAAAAATTTTAAACTAATTTTGTATTCCAGATCAATCCAAATTGGTCAGAATGTATTATCTTTTTTTATAGATTGCTGAATTGAATTTACCTAATGTTTTCCTTAGGATTTGTATATGTCTCTTCATCAATGAAATTAACGTGTAATTTTCTTAGATTATCCTCGACAGCATTTGTATCGAGTTTATCCCAGCCTCATGAAGTGAGTTGGGAAGTGTTGCTTGTTTTGTAATAATCTGAAATATTTATTTCCTACATGTTTGGTAGAATTTGCCAGTGAAACTCTTTGATCAAGGTGTCTTTTTGTGGGGAGATTTTAACTACTGCTTCTATTTCTTCTCTGATTATTTGACTATTCAGGCTTTCCATTTTTTCTTGATTCCATTCCGTTAAATTACATTTGTCCAGGAATTTGACCATTTTATTTATTTAAGTTATAATATGTGTTAGTGTTCTGTTACTTACAATATCCTTTTATTATTTTTCTTAATCTCTCAGCATCTATACTTATGTATTTCTTTTATTCCTAATATTATTTACCTTTACTCTTTTCTTGTTAATCAGTTTGGCCAGGTAAATCCATTTTATTAATATTTTAAATGAATCAGTTTTTAGGCCTGGCCCCACGGCCGAGTGGTTAAGTTTGCACACTCCGCTTCGGCGGCCTGTGGTTTCTCTGGTTCGGATCCTGGGTGGGGACTTAGCACCCTTCATCAAGCCACGCTCAGGCGGCGTCCCACACAGAGGAACTAGAAGGACTTACAACTAGGATACACAACTGTGTACCGGGGCTTAGGGGAGGAAAAAAAAAAAGAGGAAGATTGGCAACAGATGTTAGCTCAGGGCCAATCTTTAAAGGAAGAAAAAATATATATATACATATAAAAGAACCAATTTTTGATGATGTTGACTCTGTTTTATGTGTATCATGTATTGTATCGATTTCTCCTCTAATTTACCATTTTTTTCCCTCCAATTCTTTGAGTTCATTCTGCTGTTATTTTCCTAACTTCTCAGGTTGGCTGCCTATTAATTTTTAGCCTCTCTCCTTTTTCAATATGAGTGTCTAAGGTCAGAAATTTCCCTCAACTGCACTTTAGCTGCATCTCACACATTTTTATTTGGTTCTAAATATTTCTTTTTAAAATTTTCATTATGATTTCTTCATTGTCCTATGGGTTATCTTTTTAAACATCTTTTAAAATTTCCCAGGATAGGGCCTCTAAACGTGCTGGTATGTAGACCAATAAGACCAAGACACGTGGCCTTTAGTTTACGGAAGGGGAACATTATTTAAAAGCTAGTATAAGAAGTAATAATTCACTAACTTATATTCCCTTGAAACATTGTTAGAATCTTGCAATTATACAAACAATCACAAAGTTCAGGAAAATGTGCTTTAAATAAATTGAAACATTATCTGGAAGTTGTGAAGATTAAATATTCTGAAATGGCATCTAATCATAATGCTCTCATTTGTTTTTTGAAATGAGTAAATAACATTAATTGCATTTAATTAGGAGAAAAGCAGTATAAATAAATGTTTAAAAATATGAGTAGAGTGTTTTTCAGTCTAACGTGTTTTCCTTTATTTTTTAATATAATGTTTTGCTTTGTAAATGTGTTCATAACAGTGACATACAATCAGGCTAACTTACCACACTTATAAATAAGTGAAATCTCAAGTAATGAAGTTTTATTAAATCCTTGACCTTCACTGAGAACCTCTCTGGAATTTCAATTATAAAGGGCAGACTACAAGGTGTGTATCTGGATATGTGCCCATTATTAGAAATGGAGCAACATGGCGTCACTTTTTCTCACTACTCTTACTGAGAAGAGATACCAAAGCTTAGCACAAACTCATTGTCTGTCTTCACTGGAAACTCTCCTATTGTACAAAGGGTTTATTAACATGAGGGTGATGGAGCAGTGAAACTGCCTAACTTCTTCAGGAAGTGAGTTTGGGATTGATCTGTAACTCATTAAGCATTTCAGAGCAAATCAACATTTGCACTAGTTTTAGATATAAATGATCATGAAGTAGGAGGGGGAGAAACAGAGAATAGTCTTCTCATTACAAAGTTACTGTCACATTGAAGTCTTGGTGTAAAATAGCTGATGTTTCCCCCTTTCTGTCTTTCTGAACCAGGGAAGGAAAGGCAAGAGAAACGGGATTCTCCCTTGAGCTTAGTCTGTGAGAACTGCCAGCTCATAGTCAGGATGTGGAACTAAGATTTTTTCCATATCCCAGGCATGCTAGAATTCTGATGAACTTGTCTGAAATGTGCTGTCTTAGCTCCTAGCTATTTTTAGATCCTTTCACTCCCAAAACTTGTCCCGTGACACATGGTAACCACTGCAGACGTGACTTTGGCACCCCGGCAGCATTGCTGGCTTCAGATGGCTTCCTTCACTTTCCAGTTAGATGATGGAAGCCCAAGGGTCTTCTTTTTTTAATATGAAACATCACAGAAACCCAACCAAAGAGATGAAGAATTATCATGGGTTTCAAAACTTTCCAGATGTATGAGCAATCCTCGGCAGCTCTTCCGTTAAGGGACTTTAAATCTTGTTCTAATGTTTCAGTCACTTTCGCTTTCTCCTTCACAGAACAGAGAAATATGGCATCAGGATAATCAAGGACAAAAGACACTTGGATTAAACTGGCTGGAGAGCTGTTTCCTCCCCCCGACTCCCCCCGCTGGGACTTTGGGTTCCCTTCGTCTCTTTGCTGGTTCTCTCTGTGCTGGGGCTCCGCCACAGCCCAGTCAGGAGACCTCTGAGGGGCCTGGTTCCTGACGCTGCTAATCCTGCTCTCCTTTTCCTCCTCTCTCTCTAACTCAGTGATCTCAATTTCTTAGTCAAATTTGCCCTCCTGCATCAATGTGTTATTAATAAACTAACAGACATTTCCGTTTCCTCTCTTGGGCTTTCCTACAACTCCTTTTCTTCCCTTTATATTGACAGCTAATTATCATCATTTCTTAACAGATTCATAAAATGTGCACTTTTAACTTTCTTTTGTTTAACATGGGCCCCTCCAAATAGATGTATTTTCACTCAGTAATTTAGAAATTTTAAAATCACTATCCAGTGGCTCATTCCAAAATCTTAAGTCTCTTCAGACTCACTTTTTGCACTGATTTCATCCTTGACTATGAAAATCCATTGCTCTTTACCTTTAAGCATTTACAATGACCACTCTTCAACTTACAACTTTTCTCCCAAGGGGTAAGAAAATAACTTGAGTTCCTAGAAATTATTCCAGTGAACTTAGTCACAGGATAAACCAAAATAATTCATTCATCTTTTGTTTTTAGGTTTTAACATATTTTTAAAATACTGATATCCTAAGACATATGAAATGCTATTTGCTTATAAAACATAGTATCAATTGCCCTTTCGGATGAATAATATTTTAAAGTGAGAACAGCACGAAATCAGTTCTCAGAGCAGCTGTCACCACTGAGAGGTAAACAGCTTGTTTTAACATAGTCTGGGCCACCCCAAAATAATTCCCATTGTCCGTATTTCCCTAAACCTTCCCTTGGTCATCAGTCTATTTTGAAAGGTTCTTGTCAAGGAATTAGCGGAATTTGAGTCTCACTCAGGATAGAGTTTCTTAGATGGTTTTCCTAGACTCGATATTTTGACAATTTTTAGGCCCTATCCTGCAGTCGGCCTGGTTAACCTTGCTCAAGCTGGCCGCGTGACTGAAAGCTGCTTCAACAATGGCCTTGGTTTCTGGGCACCAAACTTTCCCTGTGAGTTTCCTCTTCCTCCTTTGCTGTCCTTCTTCAAGTCTGCCTCCCTCTCTTCTGGTTCCTTCCTTTTAGACACACAGCCTATACCTCTTAAACTGTGAGCTCCATGAAGGCGGGGATGATGTCTACCTCTGTCCTTGCTCTGTCTGCATTGCCTAAATATACAATAAATAATGGTTAGATAAGTAGCGAGGCTGGAAGATTAGATCTGGAATGAAGTTAGTAGAGACACTTACAGGAACAGAGTGTTCTGAATCCTACAACCATGAATGTCACACTTTCTAATCGCAGTTTGTTTATATGGAAAGTCTTTCCAAGCAAAATGTTAATTGCATTTAACTATATACTGATAAAACCATCTTTTTGTGTAAAAAATTAATTATGTGGACATGGGACTGGAGAAAGATATGGTTGCATCAGAGAAGATGGATCGAGACCTTAGTGAAATAGAGAGCTCTCACTTAATTTAAATGAGAACTATCAGAGCTCCCTGATTGCTAATGATTTTCTTCTCTTCCTCAAACATTTCAAGAAAAAGCAGGACCCTCAGGTTGAGTCATTTTGAGATGTATGGTCAATTTGTCTCACTTTAGCTAACTTAGTGCCTTATTCCTTTCCCTTCAGCTTACAAGTGAGGGCCAGACTTTTGTTGGAGTAGAGAGACTTCTGTTTCACTCCACCCAAAAGCTGCAGTTCTGTTTGAATGGCTGGAGAACCTGGATAGTCCATTTTCAGTCCTAAGATCTTTTAGTTGTCAAATCCCAGACTATTAGAAAAATATTATTTTTTTAAGGTAAATGTTAAAAGGAACCTGGTTAACTTAGGTTTCCTAATGAAACTACCATTCACTGCTTAAATCAATTAATTAACTGAATAACTTTACTTGTATATGAGGTTAAAAATGTAAGCACAATATCTGTGAAATTTGCAATAATCATAATTTTCTCTCTGTCCCAATATAAGAAAGTACACTTCCTTATGAGACATCCCTGTCTACCCCCCGTCTGATTAGGTGGGTAGGAAACTTGATATTCTAGTTAGAGCTGTCCCAGTTTCTTCCAATTTGGGAAAGCCTTTGTTTATTTTTTAGCTCTGTGCTTTTGGATACATATTCAATCAAACTGAAGGCTCACACTTCTTAACAGAACTGCTCCTGGATACACTCCTTCTCTTCCTGTCCCCAACATGTTTTCTGGGTGTAGATGAAAGTTCAATGAACCATATACCACTGGGAAAAGGGGCCCAGGGTCTATCTGTGGGCACTTGTCCTCAGTCCAGACTGTTGCTTCACCACAGTCTAAGGAGAAGGGCATCTTTGGGATCCTAAGCAATGACTTCTTGGTTTCAGGCCCCTACAGTGCTGAGAGTCATTGACTCAGTCAGTGAGGATTCATAGGGAATTGCGACTTGAGGAGAAAGGAAAAACTTGTTTGAGACCAGAAAATATGACAAAACGATTTTTTAAAAATCATGATAAAATATTTTTAAAAAATCTTTTAGGATGTAAATCATTGCCCTAGCAATAAAGCAAGACACCCGAGAGCCCCAGAGGCAAACACAGGGTTGAAGCTGGGTTTTATCTTCAAGGTAAATGTTAAAAGACACCTGGTCACCTTAAGGGGATTTTCTAAACCCCAGTGAGCTTCTGCCTCCATGGTCTTGCCGGGGAAGGGCACAGGAGGCAAATCTCAGGGTCCAGCCAAGGTGGGAAGTTGAATAGGAGACCCTCTCCCCTCATAAAACAAGAATCACAATATGAAAAATGTCATTGAAAAAGCAAACCAGAGAGACAGCTCTCCAGGTAGTTGCATGTAAAACAGACCAACTCAAACATTTTCTCTGTGTGGAAGAGAAAAACACTCTTCGCTGGTAATTCATACCCCAGGCGACCCTCACTAGGAGTTTAAAACACGTTAGATAAAGATGAAGAGAAAATTAATAATCTGAAAGAAAAATGTCTGAAAATATCATGCCAAAATGCATCATAAAGAGGCAAAGAAATGGAAAATAAGAAAGAGAGGTTAAGAGACACAGAGATCAAAACGGCAAAGTCTAGCGTACACCTCATCAGAGTTTTCTATACAGAAGAGGGGGATGCAGGAGGGAGAATATTTGAAGAGATGATAGGTGATAATTTCCCACAAATGACGTGAGGTATCAATCCACAGATTCAAGAACCCCAAGGAGGAAAAATAGAAACAAATCCTCTCTCAGACATAATATGGTGAAACTGAAGAATATCACAGAAAAGAGAAGATTTTAAAAGCAGTCAAAGAGAAAAGATAGATTATTGCAAAGGAGTAACACTTAGAAGGACAGCCGGCTCCTCAACGACAGTGGAATGCAGATGTCAGATCATCACTGACGCCTTCAGTTTGCTAAGTGAAAAGACCTTCTCGGAATGAGGGCAGAATAAAGACATTTTCAGGTAAGTAAAAACTGAGTTTGCTACCACTAACTGAAAGAAGAGAGTGCTAGGCAGAGGAAAGTAACCCCGTGGGAAGGACTGAGACGTAAAAAGGATTTATAAGAAGAAAGAGGAAAAATTAGGGGTAAATTTAAATAAACATTAACTACATACAACAACGTTAATATCTTGTGGAAATTTTTTAAAAGATAAAATTAAAATATATGACAATAAAAGTGTATAAGTTACAAATCAAAAGATTGAAATTAAAGTATTTGAGTGTTCTCAATTATTTCAGAGAAGAGCAAATATATTTGTTAACTTTAGATTTTGATCATTTACATATGTGAGCTAAAATGTTCAGAGTAACAACAACAACAAAAAGAATGGAAAAAGAGGATATAATTTCCAAACTAGTAGATGGGAAAAATGTGAGAAAAAAGTCAATCTGAAAGAATACAAGAATGGAGAAAAAATGAAACAGAGAAAAAAACAGGACAAATAAAAAGCAAATAATAATCCAAATATGTCTGTTATTACAATAAGTAGAAAAGACTAAATCCTTTAGTTTAGAGAGAAAGACTTTCAGACAATATTTGAAAATTAACCATATGCTGATTAGTGGAGACCCCCTAAAACAGAAGAATATACAAATATAAAAAGTAAAAGGATAGAAAGAAGATATACTAGGCAAACAACCAGGAAAAGCCGACACATTTCTATTAGTATTGAATAACTGAGATTTTTACTGGAGCTAGAGAGAGCCTACACAATGATAAAGGCTTCAATTCACCAGGGAGAGAGAATATTTCTGAACGCATGTGTCTATGAACTAAATTTCAAAACACATAAAGTAACATTTGACAGACCACCAGAAGAAATAGATAAATTCATCTCCACAATGGAAATCTTAAATGCATCGTCCTGATTAATTGATTGAACAACAGAGTTAATTGATCTCTCGCACTAACAACTGCAAATCAGAATCTGCAGGAGATTCTCATAAGCAGCAACCCCATCTAAGGTTGCAATTCCATCTACGAGTGATACCACCTCATTGAGTTGACCGCTAGGAAGGACTGGCCACATGTAGGTGAGCTTATTCCACAGAGGATTTTCAACTCTAGAATGTTTCCACTGGCCTGGCTTCTTGGTCCCTTCATGTTTTATGGCCCACCTAAAACAAAATGAAAGACAAAAAGGAAGTTAGCAAGGGTAAATATCACTTCAGAATCGTCATTGAGTATTTCCATGAACGAGGCAAAGACTGTGAATTAAAACCCAAATCTGATTACTTACTGTGCACAAGAGACACAAAGGAAAGTAATTTTAAAATGAAAAAATAAATATTTAAAACTCAGGAAAAATTGGCATGTTGTATAATTGACAGTGGAATTTGAGGCAAAAGGTAAAGTAGAATAGAGTCATTTTATAAGAATGGCATAAATAACAACACAACTGAAAAAAATCACACAAAAGTTTTCAGACATTCAAAGAGAAACCGAAGTAGATGCAGTTATTGTGGGAGACACCGTCACATGACCAACACATGATGAACTACAGGGAAACGTGTTTAAGTAATAAGTAAGGACATGAAATATCGGACCGCTATGAAGAAAAGTGTAATATGACCACTGATTTACATAAATTGCAATCTTTCTCAATAATTCCTGGACATCTGTAACACACCACATACTAACAAAATTAACTTCAATACAATTTTAAAATGAAAATTGAATGAGTCACAATTTGTGGCAAATGGCAGAATAAAATTAAATATAAAGGAAAGTTTAAATTTTACAATTTCAACCACAAGATAATTTAAAAAACACATTCTCTCTCTCAAAATACTAATTTCCAGATAGGGAAAAAAACAGCATGATCGACATCTCTTTAGAAAGCAACAAAAATAATGATCATGAAAACTTAAAGGATACATCTAGAATTACATTCAAAGGTAAATTCATAATGTTAAATGCTTATTTGTTAAGAGCTAAATAGAGAAAGGAAATTAATAAAACATTCAACTCAATAATTTATTTTAAATATATATTTAATATATATTATATATATATAGTTGTCCAATGGAAAAAAGCTGAAGAAAATAATAAAGATTCAAATAGAAATAAATAATTTAGAAAATGGAACATCAGTATAATTGTTCAAAGAAATGTTCTTCAAATAAAAAATAAAATAGCAAATGTCTTGCAAATAAATCTAGATTAATAAAAATATAATACAAACCACATAAGAAAACTGAGGTAAATATTTAGCATAGAGAAGATTAAAGGAGTGTATTATGCATGCATATGTTAATAAATGCAAAAATTCTTACGAATTTAATTTTTAAAACTCATAGACTTGAAACAGAAAACATACTCTTGCTCACGTAACTTCACAGGTCATGGAATAGATCATTTTCATGCAATATAAAATGTTCTAAACCATAAAGATGTAGAAAACTAGCTAATTCATTCCCTGAAGAGCAGATAAACTTCACCATAAAGTCAGTCACTGATAATTTAGGAAGTAACATGGCAGTCTTACTTCAAATTAAAGACTTGCAATTCCTAAATCAATATTAGCCAATAATATTTAACATAATGGCAAGAGAATAATCACTCTGGCTAAGTAATATCAAGCCTAGAAATGAAATATGGACATTTATTGACATAACGAGTCACTGATTAATGAATAAGGACACAGGAGCAGCCGTCTCTCACAATTTTCTACCACACATGATGGTCATCTGAGTCTGAAAGTCCTCTGAGATCGCCTGGCCCCACCAGAACCATTTGCAGTATTCAGCCTTGCGTTCAAGGGCCTGGAGTTCCCATAAGCTTGCTGGAAATTCTTGGGGTCTGGACACTGAGGGGTGGCGGTGGCAGGAAAGGCCCGTGCCTTACCAACACAGAACCCGTCCTCCCGCTACCCTACAGGCGTCTGTGCTCCCATCTGAGGCCAACTCTTCTGCTCGTGCCTAGATCCTTATCCTCTCCCATCTAGAACTTTGTTCCTGCCCCGAACTATTAATTTGCCTGCCCTTCTGGGTCATTCTATCTGCATAATGTCTGACAGCTTGATGTGGTAAAAACAAAAACAAAAACAAAAACTTTCTCTATACCCCACACCCACCTCCAGTTATTGCCTTACTTCTTCGTGTCCACTTACACCAAACTCCTTAAAAGACTCATCTCCTCTTCTTCTCCTCCCTTTCCCTCTTAACCCAATTCCAATTACACTCTCATCTCTGAACTCCAGTGAAGCTTCCCCATCTGGGTCTAACATTCCCCAAGCCAAAGGTCGTTTCTTAAGACCTGACTGAGCTAACAGCAGCGTCTAACAAACCACCGTCCCTTCCTGCTTAAGACACTTTCTTCACTTCAGTTGACTTCCATGAAACCACTTTCTCCTGGTTTTCTCCTATGCTAGTAGCCAAAATTGGCAGTCCCCAAGTGTGTGCTAGAGGGTATGAAATAAATTCCATGAAAATCCAGGGCCTCCACGTCAATGGAGCTTTTAGATGTCCATTGGTCTGATGCGTGGAGTGATACCACTGTCAGGTGAAGGACAGGTTGTTGGTGAAGAATTCATCCTTCTCATTGCTGTGCCTTATAACTTCAGCCCATCATGGTGTCTTTAAATCGAGCTGGTCAAGTTCAACTTAGAGTGTTAAGAAACATTCACACAGAGCAAAGGCCATTAGGCTGCAGAGTTCCAGCACAGCATGAACTTTTATGTAAAAGCAACAGACCTCTTAACATGCTATTCTATAAATGAAGAGGTGACAGACCCCTACCTGTAATGGCACTAGCAGGCCCACCTACAATGACTGTACGTGTGCACAACCAAGTCAGAACTTCACAGTGTCAGCAAGGACTCTGGAAGCTCAATTCCTGAAGGCCAGCACTAGGTGGAGACAGCGATTCGTGCAATGCTTGCAGACAACCTTTTTCTGCCTCTTGAGAACTTATTTCTACGTAATATTTTCCATTCTTCTCTCCAGTGTGGAAAAGAGTGTTCTTAAACAATTGGTAATTTTAACAGAAACATTATTTACAACAAAAAAGCTCAGGATTTGGAAGGACCTACTAGAAAACACACACATGTACACACACCCTAAAGGCAGCCAAATAAGGGTCAAAGGCAAGTTTATTTATTTAAAGTAATGTCTTTATTAATCCTGCCTTTCCATTAACGGTAAAATTCTATATACGACACTTCATGAATATCTACCTCCATGGATAGGAGTATGACCAAAATTAATATACACTCCTCGATTTATCTGAACCTAAAAGATCAAAAATTAGCATCTTTCTTCAACATTTTGGTTTACCAATATCTCCTCCCTCAAAAACGAGGTCCAGAATTGATCAGATCAATTTCAGTCTGATTAATGGAGTCATGGCTCCACCAGAGAGCTCTATTCAACTAATCTTATAAAGGAGTGGGAAACAAAAACTCATTATTTAGATAATGTTTTTGGAGTCCAGTGCCTTTGACGGACTTCAGTGTTGTGGCAGCCTATGAGAAATTGTGCGAGACTGTACATGCTGTGACAGAAGGTGTTATTTTGCACTCCTGGAAATCAATAGTAAAATGAAAACAAACCTAAAAGTGTCTCAGATAGAGAGAAATAGTCTTTTTTCATATTCTATCAGGACACAATTATATTGAACATAGTAATAAAACATGACACAAATATATAATTTAGATCTGATAAATTGTAAATACTCTGGCAAATTCCAACTTAAATTAGCAGTGTCTAACAAACACGCCTGTAAAGATCATCAGATTCACAACCCACAACTGCCAAAGAAACTCTTTAACTCTTTGCTTTACACTAGGACCTATTTATTTATTTAACTGGTCACTTTTCAGTTTTTCAGGTTATCTAAGCCACAAGATTAGACCCAAAATTCATCTATAATTAACTTAAAATTGCACGTTCCTCAGGAACAGTGAAAGCATGTTATTCTCACAGAACAGTAATACATTCTATGGACTGATTTTGGTAGAACTCAGTACATAAGACTAACTTTAAGTACCCACCTCTGAAAAAAGAAAAGGGTGGGAGGAAGAATGGGCAGATTGCAATAATAATATTAATACTAACAGGAACTACCTGCTTTGATGGGATTCAATCATAGCCCAACAAATTCACACAGATGTGAACTGTTCTGACGCTTTCTAAGGGTCTGGATCTCTGGAAAGGGAAGAAATTATTCAGAACCAGGAGCTATACACACAGTCCAGCTTAAGTGCTGTAGGAGGGTTAAAAGACCAGAAACGCAGCTGGAAACCTGGATCCATCAAACATCACTCTCTCGTCTTTCACCAGTACCACTGTATGAAACATTTTAGGCTACATTTATTTTGCAATTTATACTGAATATTAAAGGTAAATGTAAAAGTTTATGTAAATAATTATTTTTAATATTTAAATTTTAAATAACTTTACCCTAACAGAAAACAGGCGCCGAAGACTGCGGTGTCAACTTATAAGCTAAAATTTACAAAGATCAAGTAAGTTTTGCATATTAAACATTACTCTACTTTATCCTGGAGTATTTTGTATAACCTAATAAATAAACTAGGGATTTGTTCTTCCGTCTTATATTTTCCCATTGGCCCCGTCTCTTTATGTTATTTTGATAACTAGCAACTTACGTAAAGACAGAGATTGGATTTCAATGGCAACTAAGGCCTAAGGGGAGAATTCATGATCATCTTTCCATCAGGCGTAACTAATTTCTAAGAACGAGAATCATCCCAACAATTACACTTAAAAGAACACAATTTCATAGTAAGTTCCATGATTTTATATTATCTTCTTCTCAATTGAAGATCATTAATTAAGCCTTTTAACACAATCCAAAGTTATTTTTTAAAAGATCAATTATGAAATATGGTATAAACCTACAGTACATTAATGGTAATCACCAGCAATATATATATATTTAGTATAGAAAGATAAATGGATATACAGATAGATACAAAGTCAAACCTGACACCTCTTGCAAGTTACCTTTTTAAAATAAGTCTTTGACCTGCTCTATTTTGTTTTGTTTTTCTAGCTGATGGAGCTTCCTGGTTATTTAGATTCTGGATACATAGAAGTAATCTATATTCAGCTCTAAAGACCTATCATTATCTCCCATAGTCAGAGCTTCATAC